GAGTGACCACTTCTTTAGGAGGTGGCCAAATTCCCTGCTGTGATTCCTTTATATGACCTCCCTTTTATAGAAGAGCTTGTTTATTTAGCCTTCGACAGGTTGGGAATTTTTCTTTTTTTAATAGATTTATTTATTTTATTTATTTATTTTTGGCTGTGTTGGGTTTTCGTTGCTGCGCACGGGCTTTCTCTAGTTGCGACGAGCGGGGGCTGCTCTTCGTTGCAGTGTGCGGGCTTCTCATTGCAGTGGCTTCTCTCGTTGTGGAGCACGAGCTCTAGGAGCGTGGGCTTCGGTAGTTGTGGCACGTGGGGTCAGTAGTTGTGGCTCACAGGCTCTAGAGCGCAGGCTCAGTAGTTGTGGCGCACGGGCTTAGTTGCTCTGCAGCATGTGGGATCTTCCCGGACCAGGGCTTGAACCCGTGTCCCCTGCATTGGCAGGTGGATTCTCAACCACTGCACTACCAGGGAAGCCCTGGGAATTTTTCATCAACAGCTGAATAGAAAGAACTTTTCTCACCTGAGACAAGAGACTGACAAAGCTTCATCCAGAAAGACCACTTGGGAAGCTCTCGTCTCCAACCTCTGTGTGAGGCGCTCTGGACAGTGGGGCACAGCCTGTGCCGGGATCTCACTTGTGGGTCCTGCGGACGCACGTGGGGGAAGATGGTGACAGAGTGAGCGTGCTGATGGGTCTTCCGTTTCATCTGCAGCAGCACAAGCTCCCTAAACCCGCCTTGGGGCCGGGAGAGGGAGGGAGGCGGGCGCACAGCAGGGTGGGCACTGCCTCTGCCCGGCGCCGGCAGGACCCAGGGCTCCCTTCTTACACCACCTCCGACCCCTGCCCCTCACCTGCCCGAGCTGTCGCCCTGAGACACGTGGTTGGTGAGCTGCCTACTTCCTTTTGGCTCTTCTCCAGACCCCCGGGCCGGACCCCATGTCGCTGTTTGGAGATGGCACCACTCCTTTCGTCCAGGTTTGCCTTTGTAATTAGGCCTTTGGAGACGTTTTGCTTACTCTGTGGCTGGGCTGTTTCTAGACTAGAGCAGAACGTTTCAGCCAGCTGTGTGGTGGGGAAGTCCCTCCTGATCTTTCCAGCCAGGCCGGGGGCTGTGCTCTGCGGGGTGGGGCGCCGGCGCTGGTCAGGATGCTCTCGGCAGAGGCAGAAGAGTTTCATTCCAGACAGAAACGGTAACCAGGACCTTCCTGCGAGGATTGCCCAGACTGCCTGTTAGCTCTAAAGCTGTTTACTGAACGTTTGGGTGCCTCTTGGTTGAAACGGCCCGCTTCTCATTTCCCGGGAGACCAGTAGTCCTCGTGAGGGAGCGCTGTCCCCACTTCCTCACACTCGCTGGAGCCAGGCAGGCTGTCACTTCAAAAGCAGGGAGGTGCCCTGCTCAAGCGTGCCCACCTGGGGGTCTGGGGGCAGGCCAGGAGCCACCGTTCTCGAAGGCCCTGGGGGCGGGGAGGTTACTGTGCGGTTGACCAAGCAGCGGCTGGACCCCTGCCCGTGCATCTCCGTTCGGCTCACGCTGGCCCGTGGGCCGAGGCCGCCTGGCCTTCCGCTGCCCTGGAGACAAGGGTTATGGTCGCTGCGGTCTGCTCTGACCGGTCCGTGGGACTCTGTTGTCTTTGCACAAAAGTGCGTGTCAGGTTCGCTCTGCTTTGGGCACTGTTCCCTCCGTTCCCCTGGGTGCCGCTGCTCCCGCTCCGGCTTTAGCTCCTGCCGCGCTGGCTCCGCCTTCAGGGCCATCCGTCTCATGTGTGCAATTCGTGGCTTTCAGGAATTTGAACACCACGAGCTGTGATCTGTGTAGACCCCCATGGTGGTGTCGCCTGCCTTTGCTAACCTCGAGGGTGTCAGACGCTCGCTCTGGACCCGTGCCGCGCTGTCCCCCGGCACCTCCCACTCCACTCTGTCTCGGTCCTCGCGCTTAAGGATTAGGTCCCTGGCACTGACCTTTCTGTTAGCAAGAAAGACGCTCCCTGAGAGCTCAGGAAACCTTTCTTTATCTTTCTCATCTCATCCCAATCTATCCTGGTCACGGCTTACCTGCTGACCTGCTCTGAGAAAGTCACCGTGCCCAGGGTGTTTTCGAGGAAGGGTGTACCTGTGTTTTAACTTCGTGCCTAACGCACTGAATTACAGAGGCTGCCCGACTGAGAAGGTGGAAAGACTCGTGGTCTCTCACGTGTTCTGACCTAACTGCAGACGTGCGGGTTGCAGGTGAATATGAAAGCAGTCAGGCCGTGGCTGCGCTTCACAGTGGGAACGCCATGGGGCCTGGGGTCAGCACAGAACGGAAGGCAGCTTGGGAGTGGGCTTGGGAATGATGGGGCCTCACCTTGGAAACAAAGCTTTCACGACCCCGCCCACAAATTGAAGTCCAACCTCACGTTGGAGTTGAAATATGTTTTCAAAATCAGAGGATTAAAGCAAGAGGGTCTGTGGTCCCAGGTGCCACTCACTGGGCACTGCCCTCACCTTCCCAGGCCCCCCTGGGGAAACTGAGTAGGAGTGAGGGGGCAGGAGCGTGAGTAACGGGGCCTGTTCCGTCCCCTTTTCATCTGCGCGCGGGACCCTGGGTGCCGCCAGCCTGGCGGAGGCTGGAGGAGGGCTGCTGACAGCCGGACAGGTCATGCAGGCTGATGGCCGTCCTGGCCGGGGCCCTGGGAGCCAGCTCCACGTCCACCGGGCCCCAGGGTGACTTCGTCCAGCGCTTGGGAGGCCAGCAGCTTCGAGGGGAAGGGCTGAGAGAAGGCCCTCGGGAGACGTGAGCGAGTCCAGTCAGGAAGAAGCCACCTGGGTGCTGCCCGTTCCCTCTCCCTGTGTCTCTCCCGCTCTTTCACCCTTCCATCTTAGAAGAGAACCTTCCTCCTTTTTATCTTTTCTTATCTTTGACCCCAAACTGGGCTTGCTGCTCAGGCTGGAGTCTGCAGACACCCTCGCTGTGGCCTGCCGTGCCTCTCACCTCCGCCCTGGCATTGCAAGGGGCCTCGGGGGCCCTTTCTCCTCAGAGTCCCTCTCTTGTGGCCTTGAACAAAGGGTCAGGTGCCTGGAAGATAAGATTGTTGTGTGGCCATGGTGGGGTGGGCTGCTCGGAGATCCCTAGAGGGTGTTTCCCCCTCTCTGTTCAGAATGCAAATTCCAGATCTGTTCTGTCAGTTTTCGATGCCAGCGTGGCTGGCAGTCGTCCCCCTCCCAGCTGTCCCCGCTCCCTCGGGTTTCCTCCCGTGCATCCCCAGCTTCCTGTCGTGGAGCGGCCCGTGCGCCGGCCTTCGGTGGCTGGCCCGTGGGGAGAGCCTGGCACGCCTGCTCTTTACTGCAGTCCAGTATAGTTGCTTGTCTGGCTGCCAGGCTTTCCAGATCTCTTTCGGCTCTCCTCTGGGGTGTTGTCAGAAAGCAGAGGGACAGGCTGCGTGTCATGGGTACCGACCTAGGCCCCATCCTCTGTCACGGCTCCCCCGATGCCTGAGTTGGGAGCAGACCTGCTCTGCCTCTTCCCCGCCCTTCCCCAATAGTATAGGAACAGTTTCCCCAAACAGGATTGTCCATGAACTCTGTTGACGCTCCGAACTGACATGGCTGCATCGTGAATCACACCGTTGGTTTCTGTCTGCTTCTCCCTGTGTTAGAAGAGCCACAGGTTGACAGAGCTGGGCCATTCTGATGACTTATGAAAAACCTAGCGACCGAGGTGTTCCGCTTTCTGTTGCATTTTTACAATGAGAACAACACAGGAGGTGTAAAGGTGAAAGCTGCTTGGGGTGGCCCGGGCCAGGCCAGTCATCAGGCGGGTTTCACTCCCTTCCTGGACACTTCCGGGAGGACTCACTGAGGAGCTGGTGCGGCAGTGGCGCTCAGCATTTGCGGCTGAGATTACAGGGATCTTAATGCCTCAGTTTAGTGTGTCCTTGAGGCAATTTTAAACATTGGGTGTTGTTCCTGGTGTGGGACTCTTAGCAAATAGTAGGCGTGGAACGTGCTCGTTGGTGGATTGATTGAAAAGTTCTGAAAATATCAACAGGTGTTGGTTGTTGTATGTTATGATGTAATGTAAGTAGATGCTGGTGATAGAAAATGTATGTAATTCTAAAAATCCAGTCCCAAAAGGCAGGACCATTTTTGAATAAAACTATGATGTTTTGTTGGCACCCATAGAAGGTGGGAATCAAAGGCAAGACACAGTTCTTAAGTCTGACAGTGCTCTAACCCAAAGCCCAGCAGGTTGGGGGCAGGGCTGACAGGCACCGCTACGTTGTTCTTTAGGTCAACGGACAGGACACGCCCAGAACCCTCTGAAAATTGAGAGTATCTAGAATTGTGACAACGCTGTGGTCCTGTGTGCAGACAAGATTCTAGAACAGGAGAAGACAGATTAATGGGAGAGCACAGCCCCTCGGAGTAAGAATTTATATGCCCCAGAGACGGCATCGCCCACAAGCCATTCTGGAACGGAAGTGGGTCCACTGGCCTGCGGGATAGTGGGCAGGAACGTGCACCAGAGAGGGGGAGGGGGTTAAAATAGCAGGTCTAGAGCAGGTAGAAGCGAGTGTGGCTTAGAATGGAGAAAGCTCTGTGAGCCTGGAAGAAGCTGTTACACTTGTAACAAGCGTTAGCACCACCAGCGCAAGTGAAAGCCAATGGCCTGGGACAAATACAGGACGCAAAAGCGTTCCCAGAAAACTGGCCAAGAACGAGACACAACCAGAGCTCAGGTGGCCTCCCCGCCGCCAGGTGCCACTGCACAGATGGGAGCCCATTTCTGTGCGAGGAGCTGCCAGGGCTCAGGCTTACTTTTGCGTGGGCTGCGCTGTGGCGCCCCCCACCGGTTACACGGGAGGCCAGAATTGATGAGAGGGAGGGAAAACAGGCACCCCCGCCGTGCTGAGTGCAAGCTGCTTCAACTTGCAAGGAACATGTGACAGTTTACCAAGAACCTGTTAAACGCTCTCCTCCTTTGGCCCACTGATTCCCCATCTTAGGAATTTGCCCTTGGAGAAACGTGATGTCCGTAAAGATTTATATAAAGGGTGATTTTCTTGTTCTTTGTGTTTTTTAAACACAGAAACAGCTAACTGTAGAGAAATGTCTAAATTACATAACACCTGACAGTGAACTCCTGCACCGTCAGGGAGGCCAGCTCCGGGTGGAGCAGTCCCCAGGTGGTCTCAGCTGTGCTCCCAGGTTCATCGCGGGGAATGACATAGAGGCAGAGAGGAAATTCAGAGGTGCTAAGTGGTGGCTGACCCCAGAGAGCGAGATCCTGGGGTTTTTATTTCTCTGTTTTTACTTTCTGTGTGACTTTTTAATTAGTAAACATCACAGGGCCAGCAGATACCTTCAGACTGAACTGTTCTGGGACCCTGTGCTCTGGCTCCCTGTAGAGCAGGGCTGCTTTGGTGTGGGGTGCAAGGCACCCTGGCTTGGAGCTGAGCCTTGTCTCCAGTGCTGCGCTGCTGAGCTGCTGCCGGCCCCCTGCTCCCACTCGCCTGCGCGGTTTGGCCTTGTTGCGTTCCCGGCTGGTGGTGAGCACGTGGGGAGTCCGCGTGGCGGTGGCTTGCTCACGGGGCCCAGCAGGTCCTGCTGTCACCAGCCCGCTGGCCCTCAGTCCTGATGCTCTTCGTCACAACGTTGACCTGTCCTGCTCTCGTCCCTCTCGCTGGGAGACAATGTTCTTTCAGTGAATTAAACCTAAGAGGACAAAGGAAATGTGTAAGGCTTGGGTTTAACTCGTTTGCAGACAAGGAGTTCCTCCATCCCTCGAGCTTCCTAAGTGCTGGTGTGCGGCCACTGTGCACCAGCTCTAGAGAGAACGTGCCAGGCCCCTTCCTCCCTGTGCTCCCGGAGCCCATGCAGCGGGGAAGGCGGGGGTTCTGGGGGAGGATGACGCCGGATGGCCAGCTACCCTGCTGCCCTGGAAGGCACCACTCGTGGAGAGAGCCCCGCGTGTCTGGTTCCAGGTGAGGTCTCCCATAGACAGAGCACCTGCTGCCCTGTGTGTCCGGCGTTCCTGGAGTGAGCCGTTAGGTCACAGTCTCTCCTCTGACTCAGTTTCTTTCACAAAATGGCATTGCTGTCTGCCGGGAGGTGGCCCTAGACCTGCTAACCGTTACTCTGTGATTTCAGCCGTCAGGCTGAGCCACCAAAGAAGGAGACGGCCTCTGCCGGGCCCCAGGTGAAGAGAGCCGACGAGTGGAAGGACCCCTGGCGCCGGTCCAAGTCTCCCAAGAAGAAACTTGGGGTATCGGTCTCCCCTAGCCGGGCACGACGACGTCGGAAAGCATCAGCCTCATCGGCCTCTGCCTCGAATTCCTCCAGGTAAGGAGGCCGGGGGCCGGCGGGGCTGAGCGGCGTCTGTGCGCTCCGCGGGGCTGCGGCGCGGCTGGGTTCCAGAGCACCGCTGGCTAGCAGGACTGACACTTCACACCTGGTGAGGCTTCACATACCCCCCGGAGCCGTGTCAGCCAGGGCGCAGGCCACCCAGAGTGGAGCACAGACCTGGGCAGGGGGCAGCGTGGGGAGAGACACTGCTTGGCGGAAGACCAGAAGAGCAGCCTGGCCCCAGTGTCTAGTCGGTCCACCTGTCGCCTCTGAGTTTGGGTCAGCAGCTATGAAATGTGTGTGTAGTAAGGTCTGCACAAACAAGTGAGGATGCTGCGGGCGGTGAGAGCGGGGGCTCTCCCTTAAGAGGGCCAGGAGGGGCCTGCGGAGGTGGACGGGGCCTGGACGTGTCTGTGGACTCAGGGTTTCCACTGCGTGCACTGGTGGACACACAGATGCACACGCGTGTGTCCGCCCGGGTCAGACACACTCACCTACACACACGGGCACACGTATCCTGGCTCTGTCCCCCGAGGGCCTGGGAGCTGTGTCACCGGTGACGGTGAGCGCACCCAGCACCCAGGTCTTAGTTTCTAAGCACCATTCCCACGAGCCAGGGGACTGGAGAGCAGCGTGTCCGCGAGGCAGCCGGAGGGCGGGCATGTGTGTGTGCGCCGGGGCGGGCAGAAGGAGACCCCGCCTTCTCTTCTCCCCCGGGCTGCAGGTCGTCGTCGCGGTCGTCCTCGTACTCTGGCTCCGGCTCCTCCCGGTCCCGGTCCCGGTCCTCGTCCTACAGCTCCTACTCCAGCCGCTCTTCCAGACACAGCTCGTTCTCAGGCAGCCGCTCCAGGTGCGTCCCTGAGGCCCAGCAGGTGTGGACAATGCCGGCTCATCCGGGTTCCTGCGTGACGGCAGCTTTCTGCTTTGACGGGGGCCTTCCAGGTCCTCATTGCTTGAGGAGGAGTCTCGCTAGGTTAGGCGTCTGGTGAATTCTGAAGAACACACAGCGAGGGGCTGAGGAACCAACACGGGTGCACGTCAGGGCTCACAGTCCACACCGATGTTGGCCTGATTGGGGGCTGTGCTCATAGCACAAACGAGGCAGCCACGGGGTCAGCGCCAGCTCGGGTGACCTCCTGTGGACCTGCACTGGCCACACGTGGTGGGTCACATTCCAGCACACTAGAATTTTGGAGTATGCGCAACCCCTGTTTGGGGGGCTCAGATACAGAACGTTTCCATCTTCACAGAAGGTGCTACTGCCCTATTCCAGAAAGATCGGGAGTATTTCCCCCCTGAAAATAGGCAGACTGCTTGGAATGTTAGAGAATTTCTGGTCATCGCCTGGGTGGGAGGAGTCACTGGTTCGCATGAGGAATAGGAAACGGCTGACACCGTTTTTGCCTCTTCAGCCTTTTCAACGAGTGCAGGCTGCTGTGTGCGCCTCCACCCCCGGTGCCACCTGCACACGGACCCAGAGTCACTCCCCCGCCCTCTCTGCCTCCTGCCAGCCTGAGACGCGCAGGTGGGGCCGCACCCAGGACAGGCCTGGGACCAGAGGGAGGCTGCGAGTGGAGGGGGCCGCCTGCGTGGCTCTGCCTCCGCGGTCGCAGACAGGCACAGCTCTCCCAGAGGGCCGCAGCAGGGCGTGGACTCACCCCTACGCGCTCACATGCACACCACGCACAGACCCACACAGACACACGTGCCCACCGCTTCCCTGGGGAGCACGTCACAAAGTATTCTTGGGGTAAACTGATGGGTCCTCCTGCAGGGTCTGTGGCCCCCAGTGGCGCCCCTTCCTGGCAGGCTGTCTCACCCTAGGACAGCGTAGAGCGGGTGGGAGCAGCACAAGGAGATCATTGAAGCTGTTGCATCTGAAGGCCACGTTCTTGTGTTCGTGGACTTAGATGACAGCCGGGCCTGCTTTTCCTGAATGTCATCTTGTGCTGAGTGACAGCTGTGAGAAAGGAAAGCCAGCCTTTTGCTAAGGGTATCCAGAGGGCCAGCTGTGGGCACTGGGCCTCACGGCCGTCCTGCCAGGAGTGTGAGCAGTGCCTGGGTGTCCAGGGGAAGGCTGCCTGTAGGAGGCTGAGAGGGAGACAGTGAAGATACCGATCATCCGTGGCAGGAGAAGCCTTCTGTGGTTTCACGTGAAAAATAAGGCTGGTGAGCTGTGGGGAAGAAGCCTGGAACCAAGCTGATAAATTGGGGGTTCTGGAAATCCCAGGGTGTGGGGGGCTTACCTGCAGTCTCCCCTCTGTGAGCAGTGGGTGACACGGGGACAGACGGAAGAAGGCCCTGTGTGTGGTCTGTATACGGCTGAGCTGTTCTCACAAAGTCGGGGGCGCTTTCTTCGCTACTTAACCTTCCCCTCGGGTTGTGTTTGCGAGCCCCACCGACTGTCCCAGGGCCTCCCCGCCGGCTCCCAGGTGATGGCTGATGGGGTGCTGCCTGCCCCTTGGCACCTCTTTTCCCCTGTGACATGCATTTGAGGAGATGACCGAGACCTGTCCGAGGCTGATCGGAAGCCCCTGCGGGGGTGTGGCCGGGCGGAGCACCTCCTCTCACCTCGGTTCACTCCCTTATAGGTCCCGGTCCTTCTCCTCGTCCCCGTCCCCGTCCCCGACGCCCTCGCCGCACAGACCTGTCAGAACCAAGGGGGAGCCGGCTCCGCCTCCCGCAAAAGCAGGGTGAGTGCTGCGGCGGCCCCGGGAAGTGGGCAGGGGCGCGGGGCGTAGGCCTGGCCTCGCACTTCCTGGCTGTGGGCCAGGACATCCGTGCTCCAGCGTGCTCACTCTGGTGCTGGAGCCTCACTTGTCAGGAGCCAGTGCGGCACGTGAGGGCCCCTTGCCCTGGGGACCTGCTGTGCTCTGCCCTGGCTGTGTCCGTGGCAGCCTCAGCCCTGCCGTCCTCACCTTCTCTGCTGCTCCTGGGACTGGTCACATCGATCCTTCTCAACAGATGTGACGACGGGAGGGGTTAGAAGCATCTAGGACTTAGCACACAAACCTCACAATACCTGGCATGCAGGGTTGGGGTGCGTGGTCCGCCGGGTGAGAGTACGCTCCGCTCCTGCAGCTCTGCCAAGCGCGAGGCCCGTCCTGATGTTGGCCGTCCCCACGCGCGTCTGGCCCCAGCCCCCGTGGCAGGTTTTCCTCCTGAACGGGGTCGGCTCCCGGGCCTCAGGCTTAGGGAGCCCTGGGCGGCTCACTGTTAGACAGGGAACGGTGTTGGCATGTGACTTAGGCCCCAGGCACCGCGCCCACCTGAACTGTACTGTTGTGGGGGGACCCCGACCACAGTGCAGGCGCTTCGGGTCCCCAGGCTTCACGCAGATGGCGTTGGGCAGGGTGAGTGCGGGTCTGCCTCCTGGTCGGCACGGGTTGGATTCAGCCCTGCTGCTCTGCTGAGCAGCTTCCTCCAGCGCAGACTCTGCTTCCTGCCGGCGTCAGCTTTGCTGGCAGGGTCTGCTCTGTGGCCCGTCTGCACTGTGCGTGTTTAGGGCGCTTAACAAACTGGCAGGGTATCTTCCCCACGCAACGGTGAAGAACAGCTTGGGGGCCATTTTCCCGACTCCCCTGGGGTCCCCAATTACTGAGGGAGCACAGCCCAGCTCTCGGCACTGCTCCGGGGCTCTTCAGCCGGCCCCGTCTTCCTCCCTGTCCTTCCTTGGAGGGGGAGGCCGTGGGGTGCTCAGTGTGGGGTGGGGGTCCGCGGGAAACAGCTCCTCACAGGGGAGTGTGCGCATGCACTGCACGCGCCCCGAGGTCGGCCGGCAGGGCCGCCTCTGCCTGCCCAGCCGGGTCTGACCCTTCCTCTGTCCCACGTCACAGAGAGAAGCTGCTGAAGAAGCCAGCCCCACCTCCAGCCCCACCGCAGGCCCCCAAAACCACCGCTCCTGCCCCCGAGCCCACCAAGCCCGGAGACCTTCGGGAAGCCAGGAGGAGGGAGCGGCAGGCCAGGAGCCCACCCAGGAGGTGAGTGCCCCGGCCTTTCAGGGCTGGCGGAGGGGTGCTCGCAGGCAGCAGAGGCCAGGGACCGCGGCACGTCACCGAGCCTCGGTGTCCCCAGCAGCTCGATGGCTGCGAGGGGCCTGGGTGCTCCCTCGGTGCCAAGTTCCCCCTTGCTGGAGGCACAGTGTGAGGGGAGCTGGCCAGGGCTGTGGTTGGTTCACTTTGAGGGAATCAGAGCCCCGCCCACTGCCCGGTCGGTGGCGAGTCACTGGGGGCGCGTTGGTCTCAGGCCAGCGAGCCCCGGCTTGGAGGAGCACCCGCGTGTCAAGGCCACAGAAACGTGAGCAGCCGGGCTCTTCGTTGTCTTGTAGGCGGACTGTCAGCGGCAGCGGCAGCGGCAGCAGCTACAGCGGCTCTAGTTCCAGATCCAGGTCATTATCACGTCTCTCTGGCCCCAGTCCCATCGGCATCTGCCTCTGTCCCCCCAGTCAGGGTCCAGGGAACCCCGGGAGAGGCCACGTTAGGTGTGAGCACCCTCCTCCCTCGGGTGGCGGCACCGTGGGTCCGAGGAGCTGTTCCCGAGCCGCTCCGGCGAGGAGCGGGGACGGGCTGAGGCAGCTGGGGGCGGCCGATCGAGAAGGTCTGAGGAAAGAGCGAGCGGAAGGGGGTGCTGCCGTTTAGTTCAGAGAGCAGGCGGCGCCAGGTCAGCCCTAGGGTCCTTGAAGCCGGTTCCCTCCGCCCTTTGCAGGCAGCAGGTGGCGCATATACATTTGCCCAAAGCTGGCAGAGTAGGTCTGGGGTGTGCTAAAGAGCAAACTTTTCCAAAAGGCTGGGCTCTTCCCTTCCCTGTTGCAGCCTCCACACACCTTAGGACGCAGTGCTGCCGGTTTTCTCAGAGGGCGGGAGTCCCTGTGGAGCCTGGGCTGTGAGGGCCTAGGAGATCGGCCATGTTCAGCGCCTCCTGAGTGGGCCCGTTGGGTTGTCTGGCACAGCGTCTGCTCGCGCTGTGGCCCATGTCCGCCCTCTGTTGTGCCCCGTCGCCAGGGTGGGTGTCCAGCTCTTGGTCACAGTCAGCCGTGTGTCCCTGCCCAGCTAACAGCACAGTCACCTGTGAGCACGAGGGCCTGGCCACAACCACGTGGGCGTCCCCTCCCTGGGCGGCACCTATAGAGTGCCCAGAGCCCCCCACATCTCGGGCTGGGTGGGTTCCCCTTCCCTGGGAACAGGAATCGGGTCTCGGGCTGGGGCCGCGGTGCAGACGTGCTTGTGCGTGCAGGTCCCTGAGCGTGAGCAGCGTCTCCTCCGTGTCCAGCGCCACGTCGAGCAGCAGCTCAGCGCACAGCGTGGACTCGGACGACATGTATGCGGACCTGGCAAGCCCCGTGTCCTCGGCTAGCTCGCGGTCCCCCACCCCAGCCCAGACCAAGAAGGAGAAAGGTAGAGCCTGTGTGCAGGGGAGGGGGCGTGCAGCGGCCCCACGCTGCCAGTGATGACGCCTCCCCCAGACGGCACGCGGGCGGCCGCCTCAGCGGAACAGAGGCTCTGATGGGCATTTCTCACGGGCAGGAAAGTCTAAGAAAGAAGACGGTGTGAAAGCAGATAAGCGGAAGCGGGATCCGTCCACGCAGCCGCCCAAACCCTCGAGAACCCCCGCGGGCGGCAGGTCCTCCCAGCAGCCCACGACCCCCCAGCAGGCGCCGCCCGGCCAGCCCCCACCGGCCACGTTCATCGCCCACAAGGAGATCAAGTTGACTCTGCTGAACAAGGTGAGGCCGTGGGCGGTGCTGCTGGGGCTCTGAGGCCCAGGGCCGGGCCGGCAGGCGGCTCTCCACGTCACTCGTTTCATCCTGCCCTCGTGGCCAGCCCTGTGGGCAGTGCCTGTGGGCACAGGGTAGATGGGAGACGGGCCGGTTCCCACACGGCAGCCCTGGGACCTGGGGCAGGGAGCAAAGCAGACTTGGCCTCTGAGTTGACATCCGCGATGCCCTGAGAGACCGGAAGGCCTGAGTCCCACCCCTGGCGTGGAGGCCTCGAGACCGTGGGCCCTGCCCCCCTTGGGGCCACGTGGCGCAGGAGCCCCAGAGGAGTGCCTGCAGCGGCGGAGAGCAGGTGGCCGCCTGCTCCAGGGCCTGTGTTCGCTCAGGCCCTGGTCCTCCTCACAAACACCCCGTCGTTCCAGGCTGCTGATAAAGGGGGCAGGAAGCGCTACGAGCCCTCGGACAAGGACAGGCAGAGCCCACCTCCAGCCAAGCGGGCCAACCTCTCCCCGGACCGAGGTGAGCCTCCCACGTCTGGAGCCGGCGCCCCATTCACCCTTGAAAAGTCTTGAGGGCCTCAGGGACTTCTGATTGAGTGGGTCATGTCTATCGACATTTACAGTTTTGGAAGTTAAAACTATATATAATACTTACCTTTAAATATAACACAGGTAAGATTTTTCATAGAAAATAACTGTATCTTCCAAAACAGACGTTAGTAGGAGTGGCATTGGTCTTTGGTTTTTTACAACCCTCTTATGGCTGGGATCCCATCTCCCTGGTCACACAAATCACTCGGCCTCTGGAAAACCCCACCCGGGCTTGTGAGGCCGTGAGTGTGCGGAGGGCGGGCAGCATCTCGATGTCGCGGGACGCACCTGACTGCTGCCCCGGCGGTGCTCGGCCGCACCTAGAGAACCACTGGCCCAGGCAGAGCCTCTTCCTGACTGGCTCTAACTAGTAAAGCAAAAGCCTGAGTGTTTCCAAGCCGTCTTTCCCCCTTAAAATGGAGAGGTCCCGTGAACCCCACCAGGAGCAGGAGGTAGACACCGCCCGGCCCCGGAAGCACACCCCCTGGGGCCGCCTGCACGCCTCTGCGGGGCGGGATCCCCTCCGCCTGCCTTCGCTCAGGGCCCCGCACTCGCACGACGGGAAGCCCTCCTTCCCGTTCTTGGTTTTGCTTATAGTTTTTAAGCTGCCGTGCCTTTTTTGTTCCCCATTTGAAGACCCTCACCGTGAGTTTCTTCAAGGCACGGAAGGAGGGTTTTGTCTGCTTGGAGTTGGACGCTCAGAGCTCGGTGGCCTGCTTTGATGCTGGCTCAGGAAACCAGAACCGAAATTAGACCTCGGCTTCCGTGTTTTTCTGGGGCTTCATTTTCCAGTGGAATCCATCCTCCCCTTTTCCTTTTCTCACTGGCTCTGCTCCTTACGTCTTTCTGTGAAAATGAGGAAGCCGAACTGAGCGGCCACCGCTTTGTGGCATGGGGTCACCGGTGGCCAGAGGGGCCACCCCATCCCTGTCTGAGCACACCAGCCCCTGCGCAGCTGGCCCGTGTGGAACTGGGACCCTTGTCTTACCTGTCCCCTGTCACCCAGGTTCTCGGGACCGGAAGTCAGGTGGGAGACTCAGCTCCCCGAAGCCAGAGCGGCAGAGGGGCCAGAATTCCAAGGCCCCTGCGGCCCCGACAGACAGGTGGGTGTCTCCCCCCGGCCCCCGTTCCCTGGGCACAGCGCACTGGCTCCTTTGCCACACAGAGGGCTGGCGCAGCTTCCCTCCCCAGGTGGAGGCCAGCATCACTAGCCAGGGGCAGGCTCAGAGGCAGCAGGGATGTGGCACGTGGCTCAGATCCATCGGCCTGTGTCTGAACTCTGCCCCACCAGTGGGTCCTAGAGTGAGGAGCGGCCCTGAGCGCGCGGCTCCGGGCCAGGGGACCAGTACCCAGATGGTGGCGCCCCTCCCCCTCCCTCCCACGTCGGGCACAGGAAGTAGGGGCATGGATCCCCTTTTCCCAGGAAGTGGGCTGAGTCTCTGCACCCCTGGCTTTGGGTCGAGGGCCAGGTGGGAGGGGCCGCGGGGAGGGCGGGCACAGCCCCCGGCCCTCGGCCCACAGCACGGCTTGAAGCCGGGGTCAGCAGCGTGGAGTTTCACATCGGCACAGAGTGGAGTGCGTACAAGGACCAGAGTAGGAGGGCGGGATAGCGTGGCTCCAGGCAAGCCCTGACGCTGTGCCCCTTCACCCGCGCAGTCTCTGCTCCACGATCGGGGGCGTGGGAGCGGCGTGGGGAGGCCACCTCGACTGTGGCCAGAACCCGGGCTGGGGGCAGGAGGCCAGGCTGGGCCCCACACGCTTACCCATCGTGGGGGGCCTCATCCAGTGGGGAGGGGCGCCTTCTACCTGGTAGGTACAGCTCCTGGAGTCCAGGCCCCTGGCAGGAGGCTCATAGAGAGGCCCTCCACCCCTCTGACTGCCTCCCCACCCCCACAGGAAGCGCCCGTTGTCCCCCCAGTCCAAGAGCTCCAGCAAGGTCACCAGTGTGCCCGGCAAAGCCTCAGATACCAGTGCTGCCGCCGGCGCGTCCACGGGCACCAAGTCAGGGAAGGCCAGCACGCTGTCCCGGCGGGAGGAGCTGCTGAAGCAGCTGAAGGCCGTGGAGGACGCCATTGCCCGCAAGCGGGCCAAAATCCCCGGGAAGGTGTAGCCCGGGCTCTGCTCCCCGAGGCAGAGACTCACTTGTTTTTATAAATAGGGTAAGCGCAGCCATTTTGGATTTTGCAGTTAATGTCTTATTTTGGCTGTGATTCTTTTTAAAAATTAAAAAAAAAAAAAAAAAAAAGTTTCTCAGCTGGAAAAGAAGCCACACACGTAACGAAGATGACGCTGAATCCCAGACTGAAGCAGCCCCTTCCCAGAGCAGAAGTCCGGCGAGCCGGCTGGGCGGGCGGCAGCGCGGTGAGGACCGGCTCGATTTTATGTAAATGATGAGTCCTCCCTCTGCTCGTCAGTCAGGCGTCCTCACCACCCGGTCGGTCGCGCCCTCGGCACCCGCCCTCCTACTGTCGCCAGGAACACCAAGTCTGCCGAGCGTCCTCCCCACCCCTGCCGTCCCCAGGATCAAAAAGTATATATATATTCTTGACTAAAGTCTGATTGGGAAATACTCCTGTCTTTTATTTTAAGCATCAAATTGTTTTAGTTGATTTAAAAAGGAAAAAAAAAATACAGAAAAGACCAAAAAAAAAAAGGCCGAGGGTATTGTTGGGCATCTGTCAGATGTGGAGGGTCTTTTTTTGAGGGGTCTCCTAAAATAAAATATTTTGATAAACAGCTGTCTTGCCCTGGTGGTGATGTTTGCCTGTGCCTGGGCCCCCGCCTCAGCCCTCTGCTTGGCAATGCCCACTGGGCTGCTGGCTGAAGGAGGCCCCACCCCATGGAGCACTCACCTTGGTTTCCTCGCGGGGGCTGGCCTGGCAGGGCTTCCTGAACACCGAGATCTCCGCCTGAGTGAGAGCCCACCTTCCCCAGCAGCGGGCCCTGAGCCAGAGAGGTGACCCCAGCCCGAAAGCCAGTTCTCCACTCAGTGCCTCAACGCACAGTTGGACCCCACTCGGACATGCAGGTATCGGAGCATGAGACACCCCGGCCAGGACCACGGTGCCGTCTCACTCACTGCAGGCTGGGAGAGGCTGTCGTCGAGTCTGAGAGTCACTGCCCGCAGTGCCCTCCTGATCCCCTGCCCTCCTCCCGGCAGGACCAAGACCACTGGAGGGGGGGGCCCTTTCTTGTGGATTGAACTTGCAGAGTGGTGCTGGGGCCTGGGAGTGCCCCCGCCCAGTCCCCCCATCGGCACCTCTGCTCTCGGGTGACTTACTTTAAACCAAGTTCCGTGAGTCCTTGCAGGCGACATGCCTCCCAGAGCCCTGTTGTGGGCCGTCAGGAGGCTATGTTCAGTTACCTCAGTTACCGGCTGCTCTGTCCCGAGGCTGCATAGCCACTGACCTGTGGGACAGGAGAGCCGGCCAGGAGCCAGTGCCACGCCGCGGGGCCTCCTGCATGGACTGTTTGCAGTGCAGTCCACGCCCGCCCCACAGCACAGCACACGGGATGCTTCTTGCATCACCAGCCTCAATACTGTGTCTGGGCAATTTCTCAAGACTTATCTGATTTGCCCTCGGGTCAAAGCCGGGTGCAGAGGGAACTCCCATTCTCCGAAGGGCGGCCTTCAAGGACACAGAGCCGGAATCCACGACACCTTGGGTGACAGCCTGTCCCTGCGTTCTGCACCCCAGCCGCTGGGCCCCACGAGCCAGCCGAGCAGTGATGGCCTCTGAAGCCAGGAGCCCGCAGGTGAGCGAGTCCCCCACGCAGGTGTCAGCACGCTGCCCCCCTGGCCCGGCTGACCAGCCAGCTCCTGTGCCAAAGGGCTGGGCTGACCTGGCTTCCCACGCCTGGGTTGGATCTACAGCCCTGGGTTCCCCGGACCGGAGCTGGGTTTAAACTAGCAGCTTGCCATTTGCCATCTGGGGGCAGGGGTGTGTCCTGGGAGGGGTGAGAGTCACACCCCGAGCCAACTCTCCCCCAGGTCTAGTGGAAAGAACAGGCCAGGCATGTGGGAAAAGGGAGGCTCTGTGGTATAATGGGTTCTCAGCATCTTTGCCCCCCAGGGGACGTGAGGGCTGAGGCCCTGCCAGGCGGTTAATATGCAAAGGTGGGAGTGATTCCCAGTTCCTCAAGCTTCTTTTCTGCCTACTGACCCCTGCCCCTCCCTCCAGCCCTCCTCCTCCACAGCTGCAGACCCCGACAGAGCCCCTCCCCTGTTTGCATTCCTCCTTCCCACCCCAGGCCTCTGCACGCATTGCTCCCTGTTCCTGGAACTGTGACCCAGCTGCACCTCACCCTTCCTCTCCCAGCTCAGGCCAGGCCTGCCCTGGCCCCTCATGCCTTCCCCTGTCTGCTGCGCCAGTGCTGCCCTGGAGCTGGCCTCCTCAGGGGGAAACTCTGGTGTGCTTTCCCCGAGTGTAAAGCAGAGGCAGAAAGCCCAGCCTCGGCCCTTCTGAGTTTTCTCATACTAACCCTCCTCGTCTTGAGGGAAGGGGAGCCACACCCCTCGGGCCGCCCTCCCCAGGCCAAGGCACCCTCCAGCTTCTACTGTGCCCGTCTCTCCTCCTCTCGCACTTGAACGGGTGAAAAAAAAAGAAAGATTTCATTTTTTCACTTTATAACTTTCCTAACTCAAATGTGAAGTGTCATCTCCAATGTCATGAGTGAATACATTGAACTAGTGGGGCAACTCAGTTCAGTGAAAATTAAGTTCCTGTGGGTTTCGTACGCCTGCTGGTGACTTACAGCCGCTGCCAGTCCCCTCCCCGCAGCGCCAGCCCTGTGCCCCCAGTTCCCTCAAGGCCTGGGCCTCCACCCTCCTCTCGCTCTCTGCCAACCGTCCAGCTCCCCCCGTGACGGCTCAGCCAGGCCCCCCGTGACGGCCTCAGCCCCTGCGGGCCTGTCAGCCCCTGAGGACGGCAGTCAGCCCCCACCGGGAGGAGGAGCTGGGCGGGAGGGGGCTCAGGCCCTGGGTCAGCTGGCAGGGACCCCTGCCTCGGGCAGCCACCCTTGAGGGGCCGTGGACAAGCGTGAGGCGAAGGGGTCATTCCCGACAGTGCAAAGTTTGGGGAGCACGAGAAAACTGGGCTGTGTCCTAGGTTGACTGTGGGCAGGACTGCCTGGGGCCCCATGGTCGAAAAGGCCACGCCACAGGAGGGAAGGGGGAGAGGGTATTGCCACCCCCACTTCAGATGGGACTGCGGCCTGTCACTGGGCTTCCCTCTAGGATGGGGGAGAACTTCGAGCCTGGAGCTGGCAGGGCCTGGAGCAAACCCCTCCTGCAGGCCACGTCCCCAGCCCAGGCCCACTTGGGCTGCTCCTGTCCAGCCAAGGCTGCAAGGGCTCCGAGCCACAGGCAGGGCCACCCCAGAGGCACTGAGGGACTGGCCCTGGTGAGTGTCCCTGTGGTTCCTGTGTTTCTGCCTGCCTGCCCTGGCTCTGTCCTTTTCTCTCTGCCCCGCCTTCCATCTGTGGTCTCTGCATTTGTCTGAGTCTCCCTAGATCTCTGTGCCTGTCTCCATCCATCCCTCCTCCCCTACCTCCATCCACCACCACCCCGTCTCTGTGCCCCTCCATCCCCTTTCTGCATCTCTCCAGACAGGGGGACTTGGGAACTTGGTCGAATGGGTGTGGTCTGGGGGCAGAGATATGGTGGTTGTGGTTTGAGGGGCGGAGCCATCCAGGGCGCCTCCTCCAGGACGCCCTCCAGCCTTCCTCCTGCAGCTGCCTTTCCAGTATTGCCTAACCCTGTACCGGTGTGCTTGCCTCAGCTGCCCGCAGGAATGAGGCACTGCTGGGCTCCGCCCTGTCCTTCCGTGGGTGCCTGGGACTCTGACGCCAGGCGGGCCACCAATGCACGCAAAACAGCTCGGGCTTGTAGTGAGGAAGGAGGCGCGAGGCCCGGCCCCGGGGTTTGTCCCTGACTTGCCCACCCAAAGACATAGAAAATGCTGAAGCTCAGCCCCTTGGCGTAGGGACCCCTGAGCCTTTCACTTCTGAAGATCCTTTGCGGGGGACCCCAGCCCCACGAAGGCAAGGACACTTCCCCTTGGATTCCCCCCCCAGGGGCCAGTGCCAGGCATGGGTGCCCCCTCCCCTCACTCTGCGAGGGCAGCTCCACGCCTGGGGACAGGGCAGGTCCACTGCATGGTGTCCCTGCCCTGGAGGGGATCACACTACCTTTGGGGCCGAGGCAGGAGGGACTGGGATTTCTGAGGCCCTGGGTGCCCTGCAATAAGGCGGGCCTCATCTCAGCCTAAGAAGGGTCTTTCTCTGGACCTGAGCATCTGTCCTGGTGGAAGGTGGAAGGGGCTCAATTGTGTCCCCCAAAACTATGTTGAGGGCCTAGCCTATGTTGAGGGCCTAGCCCCAGTGCCTGGGAAGAATGTGCCTTTATCTGGGAGAAGGGTCTCTGCAGCTGTGCTTAAGGTCAGGCTCTTGATGAGATCACCCTGGGTAGGTGAATGTCTGTAGAAGGTACAGAGACGAGAGACACACATGGGGAGAGGCCATGTGGGAGTGAGGCAGAGGCTGCACTGGTGCGTTTACAGCCCGGGGCCCCAAGGATTGCCAGGAGCCGCCAGAGGCTGGGAGAGGCAGCAAGGATTCCCTCTCAGAGACCCCAGAAGGAACCAGCCCTGCTGACACTTTGACTTGGGGCTTCTGGCCTCCAGACTGTGAGAGAATAAACTTCTGTTGTTTTAAGCCCCCCATTTTGGGGCACTTTGTTATGGCCGCCCTAGGAGATGAATACAGGTGGTGAGCTCCCTGCCGCAGGAGGTGTGCAAGCAGAGGGTGGATGACCACGGGCAGGGGTGTGGTAGGCAGGAGCAGCCCTGGGGCCCCAATGTGTCTGTCCATCCATCGGTCAGAAAGAAGCTGGGAGAACAGCCGTGACGCGATGCCCGCTGTGGGAACATTTCCTCCAGACCGAGGCCGGGAGGGCCCCGGCATCCCACTGCCTTCTCCATGCCCCTCTCAGGGGTCCTCCTGTCCACCGAGTCTGCGCCTCCAGTGTCAGACGGGCTCCTTGGTGGTGGACATTCTGGCTCCTGCCAGCAGGTGAGGAAACCCAGAGGGCAGGTTGACTCCATCCTGCACGCCCAGGCCCTCCTCAGCGGGACATTTTATACTGATTCGAGAGGCCCTCGCCAGCATGGCATCCAAACCTCAGCGTTCAAAACTTGGCAGGATCTGGCCCTAAACCGTCTCCCTTGTAGGGTAATGAAGGCACCCCCAGCACCCTTACCAGCAGCACGGAGCTGGCGCAGGTGGGCTCCGGGGGCCTCCTTAGAAAGCTTCTTAGGGCGCCCTGCCCTTTAAAGGTTCCAGGGCATTGTCACCCCCTCCACCTCAGACTTGCACTTTTGTTGACTGAAACCACAGAAGCCCAGCAGAGAATCCTGAAGAGGCTCACTGGCCCCCAGCCGCCCGGTCCCTTCTGGAACCTCCCCACGTGGCAGGAGGAGGGGACGGGAGAATCAACCCTGGGGGAGGACTGGGCAGTGGCGCAAAATGAGCACGCTCTCGCCTCAGGTCACCAGGTCCAGACAGCAAAAACGTACAAGGGGTTAGGACTTGGCACTTGGAGAAGGTTCGAGAGTTCCTGGCACACAGGAAAGACCGTTCTGAGCCCCATCTGCAAGTGCTTGGCCTGGGGTAGGGTCCCTGGAGGTGGGGGAGAGGAGGGCGAGTGGGTCCACCCTGTCCTGGAGGGGAGGGGACAGTTGCAGGGAGGGGAGGAGGAAGCATGGCCAGGCCCTTCCCGAGGTGGGAGGGTGCCGGATTTTCCCCAGGCGTGGCCCGGGGTATAAAGGGCGCCGCAAGCCGGCTGCAGCCAGGGCAGCCACAGGTACGCCGGGACCGCCAGGTGCGCCGCCGCCGAGCCCGGAACCCAGCCCCCGCTGCGATGGTGAGCCGCTCCTCTCCCCGCCCTCCAGCCTGGACGGTGCCGCCCGGCCTGCCGCCCGACACCCAGGCTGACGACGTGGCGGCAGGGTCCAGGAAGCCGCCCAAATCTGGGGGCAAAAGGGAGCCAGGAGCCCAGACACCCCCGGGCCTCCGTTTCCCGACCTGTAGAGGGAGGCTACGTCCCCCCGCCCGCTTTCCACAGGGAGCAGAGCCAGCGGCGGGCAGGGCGGGGCCCCTCCCCGGGGCGCCGCTGACCCCCCGCCGCCTGGTCCACCAGTCCCTCCGTGTCCTCCTGCTCCTGCTCTGGCCGCCCACCAGCCTGGCTCTCCACAGCCCCCCACTCCGGCCGGGGGCCCGCACCCACACAGCCGGGACCCCGCGCTGCTACTCGGCGGCGGAGCTGCCCCTGGGCCACACCCCTCCCCACCTGCTGGCTCGAGCGGCCAAGTGGGAGCAGGCGTTGCCGGTGGCGCTGGCGTCCAGCCTGGAGGCGGCGGGCCGCAGGGGCCGGCACGCGGGATCGCCGGCCGGGAACCAGTGCCCCGTGCTGCAGCCCGAGGAGGTGCTGGAAGCTGACGTCCACCAGCGCTCCATCTCGCCCTGGAGATACCGGTGAGAGCGGGCCTCCCTGGGCACGGGCCCCTGGGCCCCCCGAGCCTCAGCGCTCTCACCTGCTGACCTCCGGCCGGCCCGCCCCACCACTGGGAGGTCAAGGCTCCCCCGTGAGCTGATCCTCGCCCAGTGTCTCAGACCTCAGCCCAGACCTCAGACACCAGGGTCCCCCTGGGAAAATTTGGGGGGCCCCCATTTGAGTTCTTGCAGGGGTGGGGCTGGGACTGGCAGGGAGAGAGGGGGGCTTCTGGGCTCTGGGAGGGCCGTGGGGCACACGCACAGTCTCACTTCCTGGGCACCAGCTGCGTGCCAAGCCCTCCCAGCGCCCCACACCTCCTGCCCTGCGGCCCGGAGCCGCCCTGAGCGCGTGGGGCAGCCGTGGGGCTGCGGGCAGGGAAGGGGGCGCCCGCCCGGGCTCTCTGACAGCCCGCCTGCCCCGCAGCGTGGACACGGACGAGAGCCGCTACCCCCAGAAGCTGGCCTTCGCTGAGTGCCTGTGCAGGGGCTGCATCAGCGCCAAGACGGGCCGCGAGACAGCTGCGCTCAACTCGGTGCCGCTGGTCCAGAGCCTCCTGGTGCTGCGCCGTCGGCCCTGCTCCCGGGATGCGGCGGGGGTGCCCACGCCCGGGGCCTTCACCTTCCACACCGAGTTCATCCGAGTGCCCGTGGGCTGCACCTGTGTCCTGCCCAGGTCGGCCCGGTGATCACTGGCTCGGCTCCTGGACTGGCCTCCAGGGACGCCCCTCCTATTTATGTGTATTTATCGGGTATTTATGTGCCCCCCTGGGGCCCTGGGCAGGTACCGAGGCTCCAGGTCTCTGCTTTGAGACCTGGCCTGGGAAGGGCCCAGTCCCCGGTGCCTGGGGGATGACCCTGTGCTGGGCAGCCCCCAGCTCGAGAGGCAGTTTATCCTTTGACAAAAACAGCTGGGCTAGAAGGAACATTCTCACTCTTCTGGAACTTGCTAAAACACCTACAGAAAAGGGAAAAGGTGTTCCGATGGCCACCTCCACTTCCTGGCCCCCTGGGCTCCCCTCACCCCAGCCCCCTGGGAGGAACAAGCACCCCTGTGTTTCTAAAACAGCTATTTATTTTACACGTGAATACGCGTTGTCTCACTGCTAAACAGTATCTCAGAGCACAGCACTGGCTGGCACAGAGGGCAGTGGGTGAAGCCACTCTCTCACCCTCTACCCTGCCTGGTCGTTAACACCCAGCTGGTCCCCCAGGGGCAGCCACTGGCCCAGATCGTGGTGTGTCCTTCTAGGAAGGTCTATGCATGGACCCAGGTGCACCCAGGGCGGGGTTATGTTTTAACAGAGTGGAGCCCAGGTGTGCCCCGCTGGCCATGCAGTAGCTCCCGGGTCTGGCGATGGGACTCATTCCCAAAGCCCAGCCCTCTCCCCACAGACGTGGGTGTGGCCCCTGGGGACTACCTCCCTACCCCATGGACAGGTATCCAGGGGTGACTTCCCGGGGGTCCGCTCAGGGGGACATGTCTCTGTAGCCTGGCTGAGTCATGCTCCCCCAACCCCAGCAGAGGCCCAGGCAGCTCTGGAAACCCCCTTGGGCTTCTGTCCACCACGGGTGACCTGCCAGACGAGGGGCAGCCAAGCTAACGGGCACCTCCCAGCTCAGGCACCCAGCCAGCCACCTGAGAACCACCTGACCTATCACGACAGAAGGTCCTGGCTCAGAGCACGTTTTGGGGCAATGAGTTCAGGGGCCCAGGAGTGCGTGGCCTCAGCAGTTCTGGATCAGCTACGATGCCCGCTTTGGAGCCTCAGTCCCCACGCCTGTGACGCACGTCAGCTCTAAGGGCTGTGGGGCTGCAGGGCAGTTGTCTGCACCCCCCTGCCACTTTCACCTGCTGACTGACACCTACTGTGTGTAAGGCCCAGGAAGAGGGGAGGGGTCTCAGAAGGCTACCCGGAGGAGGTAACCTTTATCTTGAGCTTGGAAGGAGTCTTCAATCAGCACTTACTGAGTTTCTGCCCTGTGCCCAGGACCGGGATCAGAGCTGTGAACAAAATGGATAGCTCCCCACCTGCCCCGTGGGTGACCGACCACCACGGCCCCACCTGGGCCGGTTGGTGGTGAAGGGATAAGGGAAGGGAGAGGGGCTGCAGTGGTGGCCACCTGGGCACCACCTGAGTGGCCATCCGGGGCCCAGTGCTCCAGGCAGAGGGGATGGCCTGTGCAGAGGCTGAGAAGGTGGCCTGCCTGTGCCCGGGGGGGCAGTGTGGCTGGAGCCCAGTGGGCGGGGTGACAAGGGCCACAGCAGGTGCGGGCGGGGGCCGGAGACAGTGTCCGTCCTGGGCTATGGGAGCCTGTGGGCTCCGAGCCGGGCACCGGGCGGGACAGGGCAGTGCTGGGAGTGGCCTGGGAGTGGGGGCGGAGGAACGGTGGGCTGACTGGATTTATGCTGAAGACGAAGAGTGTTGGCTGACAGGCAGTGTGCCCTCCAGGCCAGAGGTCCCTAGAGACCCCCAGCTCTGAAAGTGTGAGAGCAGGAGGCGAGCGATTTAAGGGCTTTTCCAGACTTCGGGGGAGTGGGTGCCGGGGAAGGAAGGGGCTTCCCAGGCTGGGGTGTGAGCTGAAGCCAGGCAAAGCTTCGGGGCCACAGGGGCTCCTGGCCCCGCCATGGCTACTGTGGTGTGTGTGCGGTGTGTGCGAGGGGGGCATGTATGGTGTGAGGGTGTGTATGTGTTAACTGAACCCACTTTGGGTTCACTCACCCACTGATTACTCCCCCACCCTCCCTCCCTCCCTCCCTCCCTCCCTCTGTCTTTAAAAAGCTTTCCCTGAAAGCCACCAGGGAGTTGGGGGTCTTTTGAGCACGAGCTGCCTGGACTCCTTGCTTGGTGCCTGCAATAGACCCTGCACCTGCCTTCCCCACACCGCATGTCAGCAGACTGGCTTTGCTGTGCATGGGTGAGCAGACCCGAGTTTGGTTTGGTAACAATTTTGGCGACCTGGCTGGAGCGGAAGTCCCAAGTGGGCACCTTGCCCACGGCACACTGGCCCCAGGGTGGTCCAAGGGGTGCTGCAGCAGGTGAGTCCTAGCAGGTCAGGGAGCTGGGGGGACACACACACACCCTCCCCCCAGACCTGAGACGTTCTTTTCCAGAGTAGAAACACAAACAGTTGGAATTCCAGATACGTGTTTCATGGAACAGGCGATGCACCGAGATCCCAGTGCCAGTGAGGAAGATGACAGCCCTGTTGCCGGTGAACCCGAAGGAGTCTGCAGAAAAGGGGTGCCCTGGGCTGGGGGCTGCCCACCCCCTCCCGTCTGCAGGAGAAGCCCTCGAAGCTTTGGTGGGACGGGAGTGGCTCGAGGCCCTGGTCACACGACCTCATCAGTCACCGGCATGGGGTTTTCCTGGGGGCCACCCACAGGGACCCCTGCCACCTCCTCCTCACTCGGCTTCTTGCGGGCCTCGGCTGGGGGCCGGGGCGGGGGATTGCTGGGTGGCTGCTTGATGGTGCCCCCCACCTGCGGCCGCTCCTTGGGCTTGGTCTCGATGGGGGTCCACTGCTCCCCGTGGATAGCCGCCTGCAGGACATGGAGGGGCTGGGCTGGGGTCCTCCCAGGCCGCCCCCGCCCCGCCATACGGCCTCCCCGCCCCTGCGCTCCCCCACCCCCGCCAGAAGCCAGGACACAACCGAATTCAGTGAGACCTGAGGGGACTGGAGCTCAGAGAGGTTATTTGATGGGCCTGAGGCCACACAGTCGGAACCCAGCTATTTCACCACAACACAAGGGGCCCCACAAGGGCGAGGGGTGCTGAACCCCGGGGCTCCTGAAAGATCCCCTGGAGGCAGCTTCCAGGTGCACAGCCCAAGACCAGCCTTCTTCCCAGAGACTAAGGGCCAGGAGCAGGACAGAAGCCCAGGCCTGAGTGGCCATGATGCTGAACTGAGGCCGGCAGCTCTGGGTGAGGGGGGTGGGGAGAGGCCCAGGAGGGTGGCCAGGGAGGCCAGTGGCCCAGGTGTGTTGAGGAGGAAGAGTGCACAGCCCAGGGAATTTGCTGAAATGCAGACTCCAGGGCCAGAGGCCAAGTGGACCTAAGAACGTGTATCTTTCATTTTGTATCCCCTAATACATTAGTTGATACAAAAAATATGTGACAGCATATACTTTATGAAGCATAAGAATAAAGTGAATTTCTAGAATCACACCTCCTAAGTTAAAAACTAGAACACTGGGGCTTCCCTGGTGGCGCAGTGGTTAAGAATCCGCCTGCCAGTGCAGGGGACACGGGTTCGAGCCCTGGTCCGGGAAGATCCCACATGCCGCGGAGCAACTAGGCCCGTGCACCACAACTACTGAGCCTGTGCTCTAGAGCTCGTGAGACACAACTACTGAAGCCCGCACGCCTAGAGCCCGTGCAACAAGAGAAGCCACCACAATGAGAAGCCCGCACACCACAACGAAGAGTAGCCCCCGCTCTCTGCAACTACAGAAAGCCCGTGTGCAGCAACGAAGACCCGACGCAGCCAAAAAATAAATTAATTAAAAAAAAAAAAAAAAAAAAAACTAGAACACTCTATCCCAGAAGGTAAAACTAGAAAGTTAAAGGAAAAGAATGGAGGAAAATATGGCGTACGGGCAGGGAAAGCCATTTTTAAAAAGCACAAACTATAAAGCAAATAAATATATTAGACAGACTTCTGCTCAGTGAAGAATTCATGGACAAAGTTAGATCCTTAATAGAGAAGGAGGAGGTATCCACAGTGGCTAAAACTTACAAAGGATTCACAATTAAAATACACATGACACTCCTGCAAACTAACAAGAAAAAGACAAAACCCCCATAGGAAAATGGGCAAAAGGTCTGAACAGGCAGCGTAGAAGCACTGAGACAGCTGAAGCGAATGAGGCGGCGGCCAGCTCGTAATCAGTGGAGCAATCAAGTCAAAATCATCAGGCCCTGTCGGCCTGACTGAAGCTGGTGGCCGTGGTGGGGCTGGAACCGCGGCTCGGCGGGTCAGGGGCACCACGTGCAGGAGGACAGCGAGCGTCCGGCAGCCTAAGCCTGGTGGGGCCCCCGCCCCAACCCTACCGCCCCCTGCCCTGCTGTAAAGGTGGCCTCGTGCAGCCTCACTGACAAGGGGCCCTTTGCGTAACCTGGACTCCAGGCAAACCCAGCCCCAAGGGTTTTGCACGTGGCATCTGCCCCGCTCACGAGCTCCTGACAGCATCCCGAACTGGATGAGAAACCTTTGAGCAGCGGACCCCAATCCAGGCCAGGCCTGCCGGCCGTGTGACCTGGGCCAGCCACGTCCCCTCTCTGAGCTTCCGCCGCTTGTCTGTGAAGTGGGGGCCCCACCTCCCACCGCGCAGGGCTGCAGCGCAGGTTACAGAGAACGTAGGGGAACGGCCAGCACGTTAGATGGGCCAGAATGGAGGCTACATTGGAACTGTCCCCACGACGTGAGCAAGGACACGGGCTCGGCCTGCAGGGCCAGCCACGGGGCCAAGGCTGTCAAGGACCGGCAGGGCTGACCACGGAGGACGCTACTCACCAGCAGGTAGATGCTGCTTGCGATGGCCAAGCAGGCTGTGCCCAGGATGGTGGCGAGCAGGAAGCCGGCAGGTACCGACAGCCTGGGGAGGGGGTGGAGGACGGAAGACAGTCAGAAGGGGGGTCTGCAGCCCCAGGCCTTGGTCAGAGACCACAGGATCTCAGGACAAAGCCCCCAGGACCTTGAGCGGAGGGGATGCCCACTGCTGCCCAGGCTGGGCTTCTAACTTCGGCCCCGGAGCTGTTCGCTGCTTGGTTTGCACAGGGCAAACCGGGCAGACATAGGGGCAGGGCGCTGGGCCCCCAGCCGCCACCCAGGGAGGAGGCCCCAGCAGCTGCAGGGGCGCTGCGCGTGGCGGTCTCCCCGGCAGTGACCACCAGACTCATTGTGGGACGGCTGAGCAGAACCGCCCAGCTGAGCCCAGTCAACCCCAGAACACTGATTATTCCTGACTTAAGCTACCAGGTTGGGGTGAATCATTACCCTGTAAGTAATGACGGATACAGGTTTAGGGAACCTCTGGCAGAGCCCAGGAGGGGCCTAACTTGACCCCAGCAGTCCTCTGCCGGCGGTGCTGGTGATCCCAAGTGGGCAGAGACTCACCCAAGGTGCAGGAAGGCCCGGATGTAGTAATTGCTGGTGAGGGGCCCGAACACCTTCACCGCTCTGGTCAGGTACTTCTGTCCGCTAGGCGGAGGGAGGGAGGGGAGACAGACTGCGTCCAGCTCAGCACACCCCACTGCCCACCCCGGCCCAGAGCGCCCGGCTCTTCCTCCCAGGGGCCCAGGGGCTCAGCGGCTGGGCAGACACCCAGTGGGCTGGCGCTGGGGACAGGACCAGGCTCCCGCGTGGTTACGGCTCCTGGGGAGGCCGCCAGGGCAGGGCAGGGAGACTCACCACCTCTCCATGGTGGAGCCCTTGCTCCTCTTACCCCGCGGGTACTCTAGCAGGCAGATCAACACACCTGCCGCTCTGAAGCTGCGGTTAAGGAAGAGCCCAGCTCAGCCTGAGGGGCCGCAGTGAGCCCCCTTTGCTGATGAGAAAAGAGAGAGGTGCGGCCGCTGCCTGAGGTCACGCAGCTGGGAAACAGCTGGACTGGATTCCCATAGCTCTGGCCACTTTGCTGCCTCCTTTGCTGTCCTGTGCCCTCCCTCCCCCCATGCCTGTCTCGGCCTCCAGAGAGCCTGTAACAGCTGGGCTGGCGGGGGGAAGGGGGGACCCGGTCCACTCGTGGATAGGCCCGGCCGGCTAGGGAGGGTGGCTGATAGACGGGGGTGTGGAGGGGATCCCGAGCATTCCCGAGGCCTCAGTGCCACCCTCAGGGGCACTGACACCTCCCACCCCGCCAGGGCCCGGCCCGGTGGGTCTGTCACCTCCCTGCTATGAGCCCCTCCTGCCTTCCAGGGGCAGTGGCATCTCTACCCCCCCGCCCTGACCTGGGGTGTGCAGCGGGAGGATACATGGAGTATGCGCCCAGGTACCACTGGGCAAACTGGCCGGCCGTGGCCACAATGCCGCCGGTGATGAGGACTGTGGACAGAGGAGAAGCAGGTTAGCAGGTGCCCCACCCCATGCCTGCAGGGGCTCCGGCCGCCCCCCTGTACTCCCCCTCCCCCTGAGGGGCCACCAGTGCACCACAGAGCTGCCCTCTGTCCGCCACCGTGTTAGCCCAGGAAGCGGACCCAGGTGGGTGCAGCCCCTGGCCGGTGATGGGGAATGGCCGTAGGCATGGGGGTCGGGACGCCTTCCCCTGGGAAGCAGCATTCGAGCCAGGGAGGGGCCTGAAGAGCTGCTGAGGGATGTGTGGGAGAGGAAAGGCCTGGGCTCCAGCCTGGACACACTCCCCAGGCCCCTGACCCTCAACACGCTGAGTGTTTGCTCGATGCATTTAAAGACTGCACTGTTGGTTGCTGACTCTGTACCGGCTGCGTGGACGTTCTCTCCCAGCTGGGGGTGTCCTGGACGACCCCATTCGTGTGTTTTGTCTCATGCAGTTCTGAGTGGACTTGGTCTCTCCAGCCCTTTACCTGCAGCCCTGTGTGCGCCTGCCGCGAGCGAGCGTATCTCTGTCTTTCCTCCCCAGTAATTTTCTTCTTTTCTATTGCGGTAAAATCAGTGAACAGCTCAGTGGCATGAAGCACATTCACATTGTTTTGGCACCGTCACCACCAACCGTCCCCAGGATTTCCAGTCATTTATTGAGGTATAATGATTACATAAAGTGCACAGACTTTTTACATGTGTGACCCCCTACGTGATCTCCACCCGAATCAAGATTCCCGCCACCCCAGAAAGTTCCCCGAGGGCCCTTTTTTGCTGAACCGAAGGTTTGTCCAGGCCCTTCTTGCGGTGGTTTGCGTGGAGCTCCAGCTCACCCTTTGTCTTGTTGTGTAGTTTCCTACTGTGTGAATCCACCACGATGTATTTATGCATTTTCCTGTCTTTGGGACGTGTCAGTTGCTTCTGGGCTTGGGCTATAATGAATAAGCTGATAGAGCTAAATTCTTTATAGTTTAAGCAATCTCATAGTGAATTTAACACCTTTTATCGACTGTGATCGCAGGTAACTTACTCTGCTCTCTTATTGGTGTTTTCTCTTGAAGTAGCTTCTCTGGTTGCTTCTCCTGCCTTCTGCTGACTTGATCAAACTTTAATTTTAAAATTCCTCTTCCTGAACCACATGTGGACTTTAGAAGGTTTAACTTCAGTCTCACCCCAAACTACCCACGATTATTAATTATTTACAGTCAGTGTCTTCACGCTGGCGTTGCCGTCCTTCTCTCTGGATCCAGCTTTGCTCTCGCTGTAGCACATCCTTCAGTAGTTCTTTCCGGTGACCTGAACTTCCTGGTCAGTGGGCGCTGTGGCAGCCCCCGCCCCCCGCCCCATGCGCAGTACAGGCCTGAGTTTCCAGCGGTTTTGTCTTGTTTGAGACTTTCTTCGTCCAGGCTCCAGTGGCAGATGGCACAGTTCCTTGCGGGGGATGATCTTTTGGTCTGTTTCTTCCTGGCTCTGGCCTCAGAATCTCACCGGGTAAAAGCCCTGACTCCTGGCGCCCCTCCCTTCGGCCCCTGAACCCTCATCGTCATCCGCAGGTGTCAGGCTCAGCTCCGTTCATGTTCACGCTCGCTGTGCTCTCAGCGCCTCCCTGAGCTGCAGGAGGGAAGGGACATCTCCCCTGCATTCAGGCAGCACCATGTCCGCTCGACCTGGGGGTGTAACTTCCTTGGCCTGGGCCTCCATCACTAGCAAGAGCCTCAGCTCCCATGGGGCTGTGGTCTCACGATGGGGATGGAAACTTCAGCTAGTGGTGAGGAAGGTGAACGTGGGCAGAGGTGCTGGCTATGTCAGGCTGTGCGCTCTGGAAAGACTTTTCTGAAGCCGCTTCCGCAAAGGCCAGCGTGGGTGGGCCCCAGAGGACTAGAGGGCCAGGGGTGGAGCAGTCGGAATCGGAGGGGACATGGTCTGATTAGATGGGACTTTCTACAATAAAAAGGGCCCACGGGCTGTGACGCTCGTCGGGCCTGGCCTGGTCAGCCCGGAGGGCTGTAGTTAGTACTGAATCAGGAGGAAAAGTCAGCAAAAGGAGGAATTTGGAGCCAGAAGGGGGACCTTCTGACAAACCACCCCTTTTGATGGTGGAGGAAGCTGAGCCGTAGTCATTGCAGGGGGGGATGGTGGGGGGAGAGGACGGCTCTGGGCAGAAGCGAGGAGTGCCAGGTACTGACCCACTGAGTTCTCAGCCACTGAGACGCCAGAAGGGGGCCTGTCTGCCTGGGCACAAATCTTGGGGCCAGTGCCCCAAAGCTGCCCACCTCCCAAAACGCGACCTTACAATGCTCCCCTCCGCACCCAGCTCTGCCGGCTCCTCCAGTCCCCAGGATGGGCGTGGGGGCCTCGGGGTGGGTCCCAGGTAAGCGGGGGTGGGCTGAGACCCTCCTCATCACCGTATCACCCAGTCCTCCCACCCGCCCACTCAGACTAGGTGTGGGGCCTTCCTGGGAGGGGCAGAGCCGTGAGCGGCTTCTTCTTGCTTCAGGCCTCGCCGCCTCCTGAGAGGTTCCTGTGTCTGTACAGCACGAGCTTCCGCCCCATGAGCGCAGGGCGGCGGGGTGACGGCGCCGTCCCTCCCCAGAAGCAGCCGCGGGGAGCTGGGTGGGAGGAGGTCACATGGCTGTTTCCAGCCGCCTTGTGCAATGGCCTTCTGAGCAGACTCAGGCCTGGGCCCCAGAGACAGAGCGGTCGCCCCCCCATGGGCCAAGTCCAAGGCCAGGAGGCAGGAGGAGCCCACCTCCACACCCCAGGACCCCCAGGGCAGGAGGGGCCAGTCCAGGCAGGGGTGGGTCAGGCCAGGTTTTCCCAACCCTGCTGGGCAGTGACTCTCCGGAAACCACCGGGGGCTAACGCTTCTTCCCCCGACTGTAACTTCCTCTTGTGACGGGGTGGGGGGGTGGAAGAGTGAAGGGACAGAGGATGGGGTATGGGTGTGCACGGGTCTGCAGGGGCAGGAGGGCCCCGGATCCCCCTCCCCAGCTCCAAGGCTCCGCTAGGAGGCTGCTGCCTGCTCCCAACACAGGCCCCCAGACTCCTTGCCGCTGGAGTCTGCAGTCTCGGGGCCCCCACCCCCAGGCCTCAGTTCCCACTTCCTGGCCTGCAGCCCAGGGTCTCTGGCTCCTCAGGACCCTCGCCCGCCCCTCTCCAGCCTGCCCCCTCCCCCTTTCCTCGGCCATAGCCTGAGGCCTCCAGGCCCGCACTTCCCCAGCCGGGGCTCCAGCCTGGACTGCCGCGGCACCCCTCACCCCAGGCGCAGCCGCCCTCTGCAGCCCCGCCCCCAGTGCAGCAGCCCCCCACTCACTCAGGCCGGACGCCAGCGCCTGCTCATTGGCCCACATGGCCCACTCAATCTGCCCCATGGTGGCGACCCGGCTCGGACACGGCTAAGGCACTTCGGATCCCGCGTCCCCAGAGCTCCGCCTGCCTCCCGCCCCGAGTCCCCCGAGTCCCCCGAGTTCCGGCGCCGCCCGGCCCCGCCCCGCCGCTGGCCCCGCCCCAGCCCCGGTTCCCCAGGTGGCAGGCAGGCCTGGCGGCGGGTGGGGTCCCGGTGCTCCCAGGAGCCTCGTCCCCCACCCCTGCCACGAGAGCCTGGGACCTGGAGCTCAGGAAGGGGCCCTACCCAGCCGGCCCAGGCCTTCCCCCGTGCAGACCCAGCCAGCGCGGCCGCGGTGGACTCGAGTGGGGGCGGGGCTTCAAGCCAGGACCCCTGAGCCTCGTGCGGATCCCGCCCCGGAGGTCAGCGCAGGCCCAGCCTCGGCCTCATCTGGCCCTGGGCTAGCGCAGGTGTGGACAGGTGTGGCGTCTGCAGGCAACCCTTTGCTCAGAGGCTAATTTGGGAGGGGTGGTGCTGAGAGTGTGGGAGGCTTCTGGGAAAACCCAGACTGCAGGGGTGCTGGGCAGTCCTCTCACCTCCCTCCTCTGACCCCCCTCAGGGTCAAGGTCAGAGTGCTCAGATGCTCTCCCCCTCCTCCCCCCAGCTGGTTAGGACAATGGGGAGGATGCGAAAGGGGAGGTCGCTCAGCTCAGAGGAATGGAGACGCTCACTTGGAGCGAGGGCTCTGGTCGCAGACCCACAGCTTCGGGCTGAGTAGGGGCTCCTGCCCGCAAAGCCGCTTCCCACCTCCCTTCCTGGACGGAGCTTAGAGCCAGGCCCAAACCGCGTCCCCAACCTGTCAGCCTGAGTGACCACGTCCACCACGGTGGTGGCCATGGCCATGGGGCAGGGTCAGCTGAGCACCCCATATGTGGCTGGGCAACAGAGGGCAAGCTAGGGGCAGAAGTCGAGCCCCCAGCCCCATCTCCCGCCGTGCCCTCCCAGCCCCCTCGGTGAGCTCTGCCTAGACCAGGAGAAAGCATGCTTGTGGAACTGCCTTTACTGTGGCCTTGGCGCTGCTCCCCGGTCCCCACAGACACAACACTGGTCTTTCTGTGAAGACACCCTGTACCCACTCGGGGGCCTGGGCTCAGGGTCAGGCGGAGCACTTCACGGGGGTGTCCTGAGGTCGCACCCTGTGCGGTGGCCCGTGCTCCAGCTCCAAGGGGGGACCCCTGACACGCCGTCATTTCCAGTGGTCAAGCTGCTGTTGGGGGCAGTGGGAGTGACCCCCGAGTTCAGGGCCAGAGCCCTTTATTGTCGATGCACCGGCAGCTCCCCACTGACCGGCTCGGTCCCCCAGTGCTTGGATCCGGAACCAGGCTCCCATCTCAGCAAGGTGCTGGGCGCAGGTCGGGGAAAGGTGAGGCACCTGGCGGCCCCGCTCCTGACCGCCTGGGCACCTGCAGGCGTCATCCCACTGTCCAACTCGGCCACAGCACACTGCCCGGCCCGGAGCCAGGCGGCCACCCACAAATCCCAACAAGCACGGCCGGGCGGCCGCCACAGCCGGTTCCCAGTCCCAGCAAAGCGGCCTCTTCTCCCAGCGGCGGCCAGGGCTCCGTCGAGGAGGCGGTCAGGCGGCTGCCTTCGGCAGACCATCGGGACCCAGGAGGTGAGCGCCAGGGTCATCCAGGACTTGAGGCCCGGGTCCCACCTAGGGGGTTGAGGAATCAACGTCAGGGCAGGTGACAGGGAGTGACTTCCTTCCAGGAAGTGCCGGTCAGATAACACCCTCTTGGTGACGCCAGGCCCAGGGCCCAATCCTCCAGCACAGCCTCGGTCCCTCCGGGCAGACCTGGGGTGGACCGCAAGTCCTGGGGTGGACAGTAGAGGCCAAGGCCTGGGTGCATAGGTCACAGGTCTGGGAATTGGATGGATGTGGTGGAAATCCCGGCCCTGCCACTCGAGTAGGGACCCTGATCTGTTCTGGGGGTCCCCACATTCCAGACCCACCCTCCCCTCCTCTCAGCCTGGGGCTGAGCCCGCAGGGCACGTGCGGTGCGCGGCCAGGACTCACCTGAGTGGCAATGATGTATTTGATGCCGCCGGGGGTGGGATCCGTACCCAGCGCAGCCTTAAGCTCATCCGAGAGCGGGACAGGCTCCACGGGCAGCCCCTTCAGAAACCTAGGAGGCAAGGCAGGACTGGATGGGGAGTGCAGGGGTGGGGCATGTGCAGAACAGGCAGATCCAGGACGGAACACGAAGCGGCGGCCGGGGGCTGGGGGGTCGTGACTACCGACGGAGTCGGGGCCTCTGGGGCTGACGGACGAGGGTGCCCAGCGTGTTCTTAATGCCCCGCGCTGTACACCGCAGAGTGGTTAAATGGTGGCTTGACGTTACGAGCACTGACCAGGCACACAGATGCCGAGCGGGAAGGCCGAGGGCCTGGCGCCGTCGCTGAGGGGAGGGTTTCGGGAAAGCTCCACGAGGCTTTGGTGCCGCCTCTCACCCTGGCCCACGGCTGCTGCTGTGCCCATTGGGGGACACAGCTTAAGAAGAAAAGGCCTCAGCTGACACTCGGGTTGGTGTTAAACCTACAAACCACCCCCAGGGTGACCAGGGCGATGAGTCCTCGGTCGCGGGGCCGGTCCCACGTGGTGTGGAAGGTAACACCCGGCTCTTCCCACCAGAAGTGGCACCGACACCTCTGGGTGACAGATCAAAGGGCCCCACCCACACTTCCCGCGCCCCTAGCGGGCAGGCGTCCCCACACTGAGAACTGGGTCCCTTAAACAGCGGCGAGGAAGAAATCCAGACGCCCTGCCGTCACAGGAGATGCGGGCGGCACGTGCGTGCCCCCGGGGCTGGACCAAGCGGAGTAGCATCCGCGGTCACACAGAGGCACACGTGGGACACACCGCCTGCAGTCCCACGGGTCCCTACCTGCCGTGGCCTCCCGGGAGGGGGCCCACAACTCACTTGTCTCCGTTCAACTCGGGGGGGAAGCTATGCCTCACGGCAGCCACAAACTCGGCCACAGTGTCGTCCAGGGTGAAGATCACAGCGTTGGCGCCTGCGTCAAACGTGTATGCCACCTGGAACCACGAGGTCAGACCGGCTCAGACCAGCTCCCAGTGCCTGCTGGCCACCCGCTCGAGACGAGGGTGGGGGGCCGCGCAACCAAAACAAGAGCGAGAGGGAGATGCAGCCCCCAGAGAAGGGGGCTCCGTGAAGCCCTGGCACGACCGGCTCACGGCCCGGGGCGCCCCAGCCCCGCACCTGCCTTGGTCTGCCTGTGGTGCGCGTTGAAGCAGTGCACCAGGTGAATGATGCGCCGGGACGTGTCGTTGAGGTAGGAGATGGGCGGGAAGGTGTCCATGCAGGTGGCGTGGAACTGGTTGCTGTCCTTCATGGTCAACTGGCCAAAGGCCTGGAAGTCGCGCTTCCTGACGCAGCGGGTCATCTCGGCCATGCGTGCCGGCACCAGCGCCTCGGCCCGGAACTGCAAGGCAGGCGGCCGCTCCGTGAGCCGAGCAGAGCCACGGGGCCCGGCTTCCAAGCGCCCCGGGAGCCACCCGCCCAGCCGGCCGCGGCCTCACCCTGAGCAGGGCGCTGGTCTCCACGCTGGTCTGCATGCCCGCCGTGCTGCCCGTCGGCTTCTTCTCGGTGCTCACCTGTGGCGAGGGAGGGAGGTGTGCGCCACGCCCACGGCCTCGGGAGCTGCGGAGGCCCTCCCGCCCCCACCTTGGCCCTCCAGCTCACCACGAGGATGAGGACACGGAGTTCCGGCCAGTGTGACTCGGGGGCCACCTGACGGGCGATGCTGTCCTTCCCGTCGGCCCGCTCCCCCATCTGCCACTCCACGAAGCCGCCGTACAGGCTGCGGCAGGCGCTGCCCGAGCCCCTGCGGGCCACTTCCGACAGGTCGCTCTCCACGCCATAGACCCGGGCCAGGGCGTAGGCTGCAGGCAGTGATGGAGGCGGGGAGGCTCAGACAGGCTGGAGGGGCGCCGGCCTGTGCTCAGTGCCACGGGAGGGGGGCACCTGGGGGAAGGAGGCTCGGCCCCCAGCTCCACGGCTGGCATCCAGCACCCACGTGCTCACGCACTCAGCCTCCGCAGGGGGCTCTGGCGGGAGGGGAAGGCCCCTGGGGACTGGGAGGCCTGTGTGCCGAGGGGCCAGAGAAAGCTTCTCTGAAAAGCTCTGAGGGGTGTCGATTGAGGCAGGGCCCAAGCACAGAGGGCAAAAAGTGTGCATGCACGCCTGGGGCTGCTGGCAGCGCTGGGCACAGGGCCAGAACTGGTCAAGGGTCTGATGCCAGGATGCGGACCTGGGGGTCCACGAGGCAGGCCGTCTGCCCCCGATGCAGCCTGGCTCACTGGTCTTAGACTACATGGAGGACGTGACTCAGCTGCCCACCTCTGTGGTAAGTGCCTTTGCCCCCAGCTTGGGGGTGGGGGTCCCTGCTGGAGAGTGAGCCAACAGAGAGGAGGGCAGAGCAGAGATTCAGAGGAAGAGATGGGTTCCCAGTAGGCCGTCTGAGAGCCTGGAGCTGGCCACAGCCCTTGGGATTCTGCTACGTAAGCCAAGAAATCATCCCCACTTAGTTTAAGCCAGTTTGAGGGGCGTTCTGTCACGCACAGGGTCCTATACACAGAGCTCAGCATTCAGACATATGACACAGCCAAGGCCACGGCCCTATGCCTGGGGCACAGCACTGGGACCCATCCCGGGCACCCACCTAGGCAGGCGTAGCCTGCCGCTGAGGAGGCCAGGCCCGCGGCCGTGGGGAAGTTGTTCACCGAGGCCACGTGCACCTTGTAGCTGAGGCTGAGGGGCAGCGGGTCCTCGTGGCCGTCGCTCCTCCGCTTGCGGGCCAGGCGACGGACTGCAGGGACAGAAGACAGCGCCATGGGTAAGCACGGTGGGGACCGGCCTCTGTCCGAGCTCCGCATGCAGACCTCCTTCTCGGGAGACCCCAGGCCCCAGGCCCAGACCCAGCTGTGCTGACGGGCGTCCGCAGCCCCCGGGGCGTGGGGGAGGTACGGGGGGTGGGGTGGGGGGTGGCGGCGGCAGCGCCTTCTGTGCACTCGGACCCGCCCAGCACGAGGAAGGGGCACAGGGGAAGGAGCGGGCCTGGCCTGACCCCAGCATCCCCGGGGCCCCCACTCACTCTCCCTCAGGCAGGCCTGGAGGCGCGGCTGCCCCACGTCCTCTTCCCGGCCATTTAGCCAAATCCGGTCCTCTGTGAAGTCCCTGCTGATGGCGGCCGTTGTGGTGGTTTTTAACTGGGAAAGAAAGTGCAGGGCCTCCTGGGTGGCGGGCATCGGCCAAGCACCCCTCTCTGCAGGGGCCTTTCTGGCCCTGGTCCCTCCTGGGCGCCCACTCAGGGCAGGGGCTTTGCTGGAGGTGAAGGCCAAGGCGGGCCGGGCTCAGGCAGTGGGAACACCCCACGGGCGTCTACTACCCAAGGCACGGCCCATACTCCCATCTCCTGGCAGAGAATGCAGGGCAGGGACCTCCTAGGAGGGGGCCAGGCATGTGCATGCCTGTGCGCTGAGCACTCCTCACAGCGGGTGATGGGACGAGCAGCATTCGTTGGCTGGGGATTTACCGCCACCATCTGTAAACAAAGGTTTTGTAAATATTTTTTCGGTGTGTATCGCCAGCCCAGGCTCACCTGATCCTGGTGCAACGTGACGCTCAGAGAGGAGTTGATGGGCAGGATCAGCTCCTCGTCTCGCTTTCCCCCTGGAACACATGGCCCACGGCAAAGCCAGTCAGTGTCCCAGCCCAGCAGACTGGCGCACTGTTGCTCCCGCCCAGCAACGCCCCACCCCTCCCCACCCCCACTGCCACCCCACAGCTCCCCAGCTGCCTGGACCCAGCTCTCTCACTGTACAATCTAAGTCCTCTTCCTGCTGTGCCCCCACCTTCAGGAAGCCCTCCTGGATTGCTCCCCCACTTCACTTAGCTCCCGAGAGCAGTGCTGGACCCCTTGCTTCACTGCTTCTTTCACCCACTCAACAAATAGCCGTGCTGAGTGCTCTGATTATAAGGCCCTTGCCTTTTCCTCCCAAACAGAAGGCGCCCCAGTTACTGAAAACTCTTCAAATCTCCCTGTTCGTACCCCCTAGAGACAGCATTCCCCCCACTTCCGCTGAGCACTTCCATTCCTGTCATATCACAGCAAACACAGGAAACCTTCCAGAAAGTCCAAAATTTCAAATCCATTGTTAGGCAGAGGTGCTGCACTTTTGTGCAGGGTCTTTGGGGTGGCAGACAGTTACGGGACACAAGAAAGACGAATCCTGTTAGGTAATACAGGAAAGTCCAGAAGGATCCCCCATAAACACACCCAACTGGTTTCTGGCAGCTCCTCAAAGGAGGAGGCACAGCCTCTTCCGAAAAGACTGCTGGGTCACTGGACATCCACCACTGAGCAGAGCTGAGCCCCACATCTCAGACCTTGGACAAAAAAGTCACTCAGAATGAATCACAGACTTAGACTTAAAACGTAAAACCCTAAAACTTCTGGGAAAAAACATAAACAGTCTTCAGGACATAGGACTAGGAAAGACGTCTCTGACTTGGTACCAAGGATGGAGAAGATGACCCACTGGGCCCTTTGAAAGACCCTGTTGGGAGGATGGAGAGAGAAGCTACACGGTGGGAGAAAATACCTGCAAAGCACACATCCAGCAAGAATTAGTATCTAAATTATAAAGCGACCTTTCACCACTCAACGGTAAGCAGCAGCCAATCCAGTTAGAATGTGGACGAAAGTCCTAAAGAGACATTTCACATAAGACTCTCAGAGGGCAAGCAAATGAGCACTGGGAGACCTGTTCAACATCACTGAGCGGCAGGAGGACACAAACTAAAGCCACAGTGAGATGTCACCACACACCCATTAGAAAGGCTAAAATAACAGCTGGTGACAACACCGCATGCGGAAAAGCTGCATCACACCTACATTACATGTTGTTGGTAGGGATGAAAAATGGTACAGCCACGCAGGAAAAGTTTGTTTCTTTAAAAAACCAAACATGCAACCACCCTATGGCCCAGCAACTGTACTCCGGGCCATTTATCCAGAAAAATGAAAACTTACGTTCACACAAAAACCTGTACAGAAAAGTTTACGGCAGCTTTATTCATAATTGACCCAAACTGGAAACAGCCCAGCTGCCTTGAAAGGGCATATGGCCAAGCAAACTGTGGCCCCTCTACGCTGGGAACGGAACAGGACAGAAGAACTGACTCCAAGATTCACCCGGGCGACTCTCCAGAAACTAGTGAGCAAGGAGAGCGAATCCCAAGAGCATTCCTGAGACCAGAACAAGACAGACACGGAGAGCAGGTCGAGGTGGCAGAGTGGGCGTGACCATGGGAGCCAAGCCCCCGCGGGGACGGACGTCCCGTAAGGACAGTGCCCCCAGGTGTCCCGGCTGCAGGTGGTGCCCAGCTCCGCGATCGCACTGCCCTGCCGGGTGGAGGGCGCGGCGGGTCCTCATACCTGCACGCGGACACACAATCTCATCCAGACGAGGGCCCAGTCCACCTGCCGCGGGCGGAGGACCCGGTCCACCGCCCAAACCGGCCCCTCCGAGCCTCAGTTTCCCCGTCCGCAGGGCCCCCACATCCCGGGCCCCGAGGCCCGCCACTCACAGTACTTGATGACCGCGATGTTGACCGGCGCGGTGCAAGTCACCACCTCGAGCCGCTTCTCCGAGGCCATGGCCGAAAAACAGCGCGACCCCAGCTCCCGGCAGCAGGCCTTTCCGACCCGCGCCGCAGCCAGCCCCGCGATTGGTCCGCGTCGCCCCATCTGCTCGCGTGCCGCCCAATCAGCGGCGGGCCCTGTCCACGCTCCACTTCTCAGCCAATGAGCGGGATCGGACGATGGACTGCCGAAGCTGAGCCCGCCCCTGCTGGCCAGCGGACGCGCTTCGGCTCTGCGCAGGCGCGGGGATCTGTCCCAACGCGGTGTCCGCGCAGGCGCCGGCTCTGCGCAGGCGCGGGGTGTGCGCAGGCGCGTGGCGGCGGCCTTACCGGTAGCGCGCGGGTCCCTGAGGTGGAAGACTCGAGGTGAAAGCTGAACTCAGCTTGGCAGGACGCGGGCCCCGCCGCCCGGGGTTCCCATAGACTCCGCACCCCCTGGGCGACCAGTTCCTGGGTGGCGGGCTGCTAAGGGAGGAGCTCCTTCGGAGATAGGTGCTTTTAAACCCCGCTCCCATTTTTTTAAGCTCCATATGAGCAAGGATTCTTTTTTCATGGTTGAAATGGGTTGCCACATTTATATTGACTCTTTTATTGCTGTAAAATGTACCATTTTAACCACTTTTAAGCGTGCAGTTCTGTGGCATTAAGTATCTTTATATCGCTGGGCAACCATCCCCACTCTCCATCTCCGGAACGTTTTCATTTTCTTAAACTGGAACTCTATTCCTTACACAGTAACTCCCAATTTCCCCCTTCCCTTTGTAAAAATTTATTTTTAGCTTTAAAATGATTCAGGTGTCAGTGAAGATAGGAGTATGTGATATAAATTCTCCCACTCTGGGGGCTGCCGCCCCCCAGTTCTGTTCCTGAAAGTATCAGCAAATAGCTTTCTTCCCCTTCGGTGTTTCTTGGAGATCATCCCCGATGATCTAGACTTGCCATAACTTGTCCACCGTGTCCCCTGTTGGTTGACAGTCGGGTTGTTACCAATTTTTGGACACAAGCTGCTTTTTTGTGCAAGTGTGAGGTCTTCTGTGGGAGAAATCCCTGGAATTGACATTGCTGGGCCCAGCAGGATGTGCCTAAAGTAATGTTGATAGCTCTTGGCAAGTTCCCTCTGGAAGCTCCATTGATCATTGAAGCCCAGACACAAAAGTAAGGGAGCCCGAACCTTCCCCAGCACGGCGGCTCCCCCTCTGCCTGACACGTGAAAAATGGCATCTCACTGCCGTTTACAGCTGTGTTTCTGATGGTTGTTATTTTAAGGTTTTCTTGGAATCACTTTTCGGTTTCATGCAAAGCCACTGAAACTTTTTTGAAGAGTTGCTGGTGGATTGCTCTGGACAGCGGTCGCGGTGTGTTCTCTGAGCCACAGAAGAAAGGTCACCCGTGAACCTCAGTGATTTATGCTCTGCCGTGGTAGTGATGTGAGGGACAGCACAGACATTCATGACACATCTGTTTTGCGCCAGGTATTGTGCTAGGTGCTCCACCCTACATCACCTGGGTAACTTCAGTTTTATGGTTTATAATTTAAGTATTTACCATAAAGTGAATGTGTCACCCCAGATTCGTATGTTGAAACCTAACCCCCCAGTGTGATGGCGTTAAGAGGGGGGGGCCTCTGGGGGTGATGAGGTCATGGGGATGGAGCCCTCATAAAAGAGACCCCTCACCCCTTCTTCCAGGTGAGGAAACAGCAGGAAGACACCACCCGTGAACCTGGAAGGGGCTCTCACCAGACACTGAATCTGCCAGCACCTTGACCTTGGACTTCCAGCCTCCAGAACTGTGAGAGCTCAGTGGTAGTTGTTTAAGCTGCCAGCCTGTGGTGGTGTTTGGCATAGCATCTTGAACACGCTTAGTACTACATGTACGTGATTTACAGAGTGAATTACCAGATCCCCTTCTATATCCCCCGCCCAGGTTCCAGCTCACCAAAGGCAGCCACTCTTAAATCTCTTATATTTCTCTGTGTTTCTAAATAATCTGTTTCTTTTTCCTCTTTCTTTCTCTCTTTCCTTTATTTCCGTTTTCGATGGTGTCTGTGGATTACCACTAAGCAGGAATGAGGAATTCTCTTCCAACCCCACCACAGTCCTTCCTCCCCCATACAGTTAAATGTTTTCAGAGTTATGATGGTGTAAACCATGTTCACGGTTGAACACGTAGGCATAAATGCCTGACTGTGTGCATGTGGGCAAAGGGCCCCTTATGTAGTGGGGAACCTTGAACAAACAAGCCCCCTGAAGGAGGGCTGGACGTAGACCCCCAGGCTGACACAGTGAGCCCCAGGTCTCCTGAATGGTCAGTCTACATGCGTGTATAAGATAAACTCATCATAGGGCCTCTATTTTCTTTTTATTTCTTTCTTTTTTTGTGTGTGTGTCAGAGAGGTGTGGTTAATGCCTGTAGGGTCATGGTGAGGGTGATAAACCAGACGGAGACACGTGTCCACATGTTCTGATTTGCTCCATTAAAACGTGTTTCACAGGCATGGTGGTAGGTGCAGGGAAAACGGAGTCAGCTTGAACTGTCAAGGTTGAGGGGCAACAGCGAAGCCTGGAGCATCTCCCATAGTCCTCAGATTTCCTGTCATGTTTCAAAGCATTTTCTTTTAATGTGGTGAAATACACGTAACGTAAAATTTACCATCTTAACCGTTTTCAGGTGTGCAGTTCAGTGGCAATAAGGGCACTCACGTTGCTGTGCGGCCATCACCACCATCATCTCCAGAGCTCTCTGATCTTCCCAAACTGACACTCTGTCCCCACTGAATACTGACTGCCCACCCCTCCTCCAGCCCCTGGCAGCCACCCTTCTACTCTCTGTGTCTGAATTTGTCCACTCCAGGGGCCTCATGTAAGTGGAATCCTATAGGATTTGTCCCGATGTGTCTGGCTTATGTCACTGAGCATAATGTCCTCAGGGTTCATCCACGCGGTAGCAGGTGCCAGGGTTTCCTTCCTTTTTTAGGCTGAGTAATAATATTCCGTTGTGTGGACGGACCATTGCTTATCCATTTATCCATCAGTGGATTTTTGCGGTGCTCCTGCCTCTTGGCTGTTGTGAGGAATGCTGCTGTGAACATGGGTGTCAAACATCCCTTCAGTTCTTTTGCTTTCAGTTCTTTTGGGTGGAATTGCCCAGTGGTAGAATTGCTGGCTCATATGGTAGTTCTGTGTTTAATGTTTTGAGGAACATCCAGACTGTTTTCCCCGCGCCTGCACCATTTTACATCCCCGCCAACAGTCACGAGCTTCCCGTTTCTCTGTGTCCCCGCTGACCCTTGTTCTTTTCTTTTGCTCTTTTTCTGTGGTAGCCATCCCAAGGGCTGTGAAGTGTGAACTGGTGTCTCATTGCGGTTTCATGTGCATTCCCAGGTTTCCTTTTATTTGTGGTGATTTCTCAGTGTTGATGAGAGAGCATGTGGGATGGCGTTTCCCAAACGTTGGCATGCGTACCAGTCACCCAGGGAGTGTGCTGCAATGCAGGTTCTGAGTCAGGAGGTCTGGGAGTCTGCCTGTGTGTCCCAGGTGTCGACGGCAGAAGCTGCTGGGTGAGGGCCACACCGTGAGTAGCAAAGACAGATAACACCGTGCACAGGGCCCCTGCAGTCAGGCCAACCCAGCGTGGGGGTAACTTTCCTAGCCGCAGAGAGCATGTTTCCTACAGCAGGGCAGTGCTCCCTGAAGGGACTTAGTGGATGGGAGGTGACTTGAAAAGATGATATGTGTTTGTACGTAGATTTTTCTTTATTGCCCTTTCGTTTCAATTCAGTCCACTCTGGAGATCCTCAGCAGCAAGGTTATTCTGGAACCGGGAACGTGTGAAACACCAGGGAGTGAGGCAGTAGGAGATGGAAAGGGAGGGAGTCTCCTCTTTCGGGGGAGATTACCTTGGTGGGGGAGGATTCGCTACTTACAGAAAAGGTGACATTGCAGAGGTGATGAGGTGCAGGTAGACTCCACCGCGAGGTAGTACACGTGGGTGATGCAGACGGTGTGGTCCAGGGCAAGCGAATGGAAGAGGAGCCGGGGGGGGGGGGGGGGGGGGGGGGGGGGGGGGGGGGGGGGCGCGGAGTGGTGCTGGTGGCGGGGACGTTCTGGCGGTGGAGGCGGTGGGAGCCACTGAGCGGGAGAACATAGGAGGAAGCGCCTCTCTCCTCCAGGCCAAGCCAGCAGCCCGGGGGCAGCCAGACCCTCGTGTTTGCTGGCGACAGCACCCATTCAGAGCGAGAATGGCCAGTGCCCCGGATTTCACTGCCCGCCTCGTTTCTCATTGTCCTCTCCGTCACCTTCTGGAGTCCGATGGGGCTTCTAATCTTGAAGGGCTTGAACTTGGCCACCTCTAAAGGCCCAGGACTCTGACCCTGCGCCCGCACAGCGAGCCCGTCTCCATGGGTCCCAGCACTGGTTCGAGGCTTTTCTGCAGAGGACTGGGTGGCAAACACCATTGGCTTCCTGCATCTTCCAGCTCGGCCGCCACGACCTGCCTTTGCTGTGGCAGATCCAGAGCAGCCCTAGAAAACGAGCAAGTGACACGGACACAGAGGTGTGAATCTCAGAGAATTTTCAGGCCACAAAGTCTTCTTTTGATTCTTTTGGTATTTTTTTACAGTGGTAAAATACACATAACACACAATTTCCCTTTTAACCGTGTTTGAGTGTTTTCAGAGCGTTCACATTGTGGTGCAGCCATCACTACCATCCGTCTCCAGAACTTTCTCACCGTCTTAAACTGAGACTCTGTCCCCATTAAACACTGACTCCCCGGCCCTCACAGCCACCATCTACTTTCTGTCACTCTGACTTTGACTCCTTTAGGTCCCCATGTCAGTGGAATCACATAGGACATGGCTTTTTGTGTCTAGTTTATTTCACTGTGCTTCGTGTCCTCAGGGTTCACCTGTGTGGCGAGCGTCATGGTTTCCTTCCTTTTTATTGCTGAGCAATGTTCAGTTGTACAGATGGACCACACTTTATTCATCCATCAGTGGACGCTGGGCTGCTTCCACCTCTTGACCATTGTGAATAATGCTGCTATGTCTTTTTTTTAAAAAATATTTATTTATTGATTTGGCTGCGCCGGGTCTTAGTTGCGGCACGTGGGCTCCTTAGTTGCAGCACGTGGGCTCCTTAGTTGCGGCATGTGGACTCTTAGTTGTGGCACGCATGCGGGATCTAGTTCCCTGACCAGGGATCGAACCCGGGCCCCCTGCATTGGGAGCACGGAGTCTTAGCCACTGGACCACCAGGGAAGTCCCTGCTATGTCTTTTGCTTTTCTTTGATGTAAGCATCCCCAGCTCTTGGGCTGTCCAAAACAGGTCGGGAGGGCTCGGTTTGGCCCCTGGCCATGGCTCACTAACCCTGCTCTCAAGCAAAACGGTCGCAAATCACATTCTGTGCTCCGCTTTGCGTTGCCTTGTAAGTATCCAGGAACTGCCCAGGCTCACCAGCCATCCCCATCTAGAGAAAATGGATCTCGGTGGAGTGGCCCAGGACTGAGGGCTGTCGGCTGGACCATGTCCTGGTCATCACTGCAGGGGACGCCTGCCCGTCCCTGTTCTTCTTGATAACTTTTTTCCCCCCAGAGCCATTGTTTCTGGGTAAAAGTTTTCCTGTTTATTAAGGAACGTTTGATGCACATAAAAGAATACAGGTCACGTGGTCATTTAAAGCATCAAAAAATGAAGCCCTAGCCTCTACCACTTACTTGGAGAACTCCCACCAGTTTCCCCAAGTAACTGGTGCATCTCCCATCCTGGTCCACTCGCAGATGCAAGGAGGTGGGTGGCCCTGCTTTCTGTGAGGTCTTGTCCCTGCACAGCACTTCCTGTGTCTGAGCCTAGCTCTTCTCGTAGTTATGTCTCTAAGGACCCCTGACTCTTCCTTATAGGATGAATTGAGTGTCAATATGACCCAGCTGCAGAGGACCTGCTGGCGTCCTGGGAAGGTGAGGATGACAGAGTAGTGGGGTTGGTAGCAGAAATAGAGAAACAGAGCTCAGTTCACGCTCCACGCGGAGACTCGTGGGAGGTCACCCCGGCCTTCATACTTTCAGGCTTTAAAATCACCTTCCATTGTCTCTCTCTTGAGGGAAGAGTGTAACTTTCTAATAATCACAGAATGGAAGTTCTGAAGCCTTCAGAGTCCTTCTAAACTTGGCTAAATTGTGCGTGCTCCTCTGATCATTCACAAACTTTCATTGGGGTCCTCCTCCAGCAGGTGCTGTATCGGGTGAGGGGGGAGGTTGGCAACCTCCTTGTGGAGGTGAGACAGCTTCTAAAAATTGAACAAAGGGCACTTCCCTGGTGGTCCAGCGGTTAAGACTCCGCACTCCCAACGCAGGGGGCCCAGGTTCAATCCCTAGTCAGGGAGCTAGATCCCACGTGCCGCAACTAAAGATCCCGCGTGCCGCAGCTAAGGCTTGGCGCAATCAAATAAATAAATATAAAAAAAAAAAAAAGACTGAACAAAAGCACAGCAGAGAGAGTGGCATCGGAGGCCACAGGTGACAGCGGTGGGTTGCCGGGAGATGCAAATATATGCTGTGGTCCCACGGGCGTGGCGACAGCCTGGAGAACGATGTGACTGTAACTGTCTTGAGAGCAAAGCCAGTCGGTGACATGGATGCATTGGAGCGAGGACTGTCTGTGGCCAGGGAGACCTCTAAAAGGTCACCGCAGTGGTCTGTGACACTGTCCTCTTCTGTGACGTAGGCTAAGGAGATAAACTGTCACAGACAGTGACAGTCTGGAATGGAAGGTCTGGGCCAGCAGGGGAGTGGCAGCGAACAGAGTCTGAGGCCTGGAGGAGTGAGATGGGAAGAAAGCACAGGGTGTGTCGAGGGCCCAGGGCTGGAGACAGAGGGAGGGCAATCGTGGCAAATTCCACCCATGAAAATTCCAGAAAGTGCCATCGAATCTGTAGTGACAGAAAGCAGACCAGTGGCTCCTGAGGGGGTGGGGTGGGTGGATGAGGAAGGGGCAGGAGAAAGCTTCCTGGGGGTGGATATGTCCCTTCCGTCGATGGGGGCGATGGTGTCACAGGTGCTCATCACACGTGGATGCCAGCGTACGTGCAAGTGACCGCATGCCAGCTACCTCTCAGTGAAACAGGTTTGATTGTGCAGGATTTTCTGTGAGGCCCAGGTGGATGATTTTGAACTGAAGGGCTCGGAGACGGTGGGAGAGGGCTCTCGCTGTCGTCTGAGGATAACACGCTCATGGTGTCAGAGGCGCTGTCTTTGCCCAGCTGCTCATCTAAAAGTACTTGCCTTCAGTCTTGGAACCGAGAGGGCAGCGCGGGAAGAAGTTCCACAAGTGGGGAATGAAGCTGCATCTGGAGGAGGGCGGGGTGTGGGTGGTGAGCCTCCTCCCCTCCTCCTGCTTGCGTCTCTTTTTTCTTTTAATGTATGGATTTTAAATTAATTAATTAATGTATTTGGCTGCGTCCGGTCTTAGTGGCAGCACGCGGAATCTTTATTGCAGCACACGGGATCTTTCATTGCAGTACATGGGCCCATCTTTGCAACATGCAGGTTTCTCTCTAGTTTTGGTGTGCAGGCTCCAGAGCACGCAGCCTCAGTAGTTGTGGCGTGCGGACTCTCTAGGCTGTCTAGTTGTGGCGCGTGAGCTCTAGAGCGCGCCGGTTTAGTTACTCCGCGGCATGTGGGATCTTAGTTCCCTGACCAGGGATCGAACCCACGTCCCCTGCGTTGGAAGGCAGATTCTTAACCACTGGACCTCCAGCTAAGTTCCTCGCGTCTGATGTTTGCGTCTCGGGCCTCGATTATAGGCCTAGCGCACGTATGCACATGTTCAAGAAGCATGAGTTTCAGGAGCGTCGCCTGAGTGCAGGGCCTCCTGCAGGGCCTGATGCCATCGTGAAGAGACTCAGAGGCCCTGTTTCCGCCAGCACCATGGCCTGAGCCCTAACCTCATCCGTCTGCATGGCCCCTGCTCCCCCCGTATTGAAATGACTGACCTTTTCCCAGGAGTAGCTCACTCTACCCTGGATCCCACTCCCAGCTGCCATGTCTGACCCAAGTTTGGATCTCTGCTCTGCCATTGGCCAGTGGGCCTCTCACAGTCCCAGCCTCTGTGTGCTCCCATTCCCTACAGAATCCTTTCTCTTGGAGCCTGTTGGGTGGTGACACAGCTGGCAGGGAGCCAGCATCACCCTGGAGGCCCCGTGTTTGGACATGGGATCTTTACAGAGGGGATTAAACTAAAATGAAGCCAGTAGGTAACCCTGATGACTGGGGAGATAAGAAAATAGGACCCAGGGCTTCCCTGGTGGCGCAGTGGTTGAGAGTCTGCCTGCCAATGCAGGGGACACGGGTTCGTACCCCGGTCTGGGAAGATCCCACATGCCGCGGAGTGGCTGGGCCTGTGAGCCATGGCCGCTGAGCCTGTGTGTCCGGAGCCTGTGCTCCGCAACGGGAGAGGCCACAACAGTGAGAGGCCCGCGTACCAAAAAAAAAAAAAAGAAAGAAAAGAAAATAGGACCCAGACACATAGGCGGATGACCACGTGAGGAACTGGGGAGAAGCCGGCCTCGGGAGGAACCACCCTGCCGACCCCTGGATCTGGGACGTCCGGTCTCCAGGACGCTGAGACAGGAAAGGTGTGTGTTAAGCCGTGGGCTTGTGGTACCCTGTCATGGGTTATAACACACCAGTTCCCCAGATCTTAGGAACAAAGGCACAGAGCAGGCTGCTCTGCATGTGTAACTGTAGCCGTTAACAGGGACCCTCTGTGAGCTCTTCAGTGGCCCCGGGGTTATCCCCGCTCTTGCAGGTGTTTGGCGAATCTTGAGAGGTGCCTTCCGGCTGCGTCTGCCAGCGTCTTGTTGCTGAGCTTCCCGTGAGACGTTTACGTTCCAACAGAGACGCTTAAGGTCTCACTGAGACCCAGGGCGCTGGGCTCCCGGAGGCAGAGTGCGGAGGGCTGTTCACCAGGGGCTGTGAGCTGCCTACCTGCCTTTAGCCCCCAAGCCCAGCTCGCAGAAGCCCATGTCAGCCCTCCT